GACAAGATGGGTCTAAGAAATGAGAGGCATAGGTTTATCTTACAATCTTATAGTGACCCAGCAATGCTAATAAGTTTATCTAGGCATAAATAAGTCTTCTGAATAGGAATGTAGGGTGTTTACATGATAATAATATTTGTAAATAGATAACCATTAGAACCTCGCTAAATGAAATGAAATTTCATTATTTTCTTTTACAAAAAGCATAATTTTGCTTAGTGTTCTTTGTAATATATATACAACTATACAAGTATATGTATATATATATATATATACAAAGTTGAATTTCTTCTTTACCAGAAAAAAATTCTGTATTTAACTATCCTATATATATATAATGATATAATGTGCATTTTTGTTAGAAATCATGCATAAGATAGATTTAAGGTATACAATACTATACAAAAGACACAAGCTAGCTCATTTCATATAAATGATTTGGATTTCAAAATGTATAAAATTTAACATGGTATCAAAATCCTAAACATATACCAATACTTGAACAAATTTAATATATAACCCAAAATTGACCAAGTTGGGAAAAAAAATCATATAATCATTCAAAAGAAACGACAAAAATTCATTATTTTGGAGGAAAAAACGTGATTAAAATATCACGTAAATAAAATAAACCATAGATTAATATTTCTATCAGACCACCCAAATCTATTTATTGATATTTTTTTTTTGACATCACACACCCCAAATTATTTGTTGTCAGTTAGATTTGAGGTAAGAATACATTAAAGTGTTATACTTTTTTTATTTAATGGAATAAGTTATAGATGGTTACGGTTGGTCAAATTATGAGAATAGAATATACGAATGAAACATGATGATTCCTATATAGGGTGTGGTGGTATATATTAATATATATAGACATATAGTGATTAAAAGTTAAAAACGTCTTAAATCTTTTCTGATGCTTTACGGTTTAAGACTTATATAAAGTCTCCAAAACTGGAGATTTTGATATTATTTATTTTTCTATTAGGCATTTTTTTTGGTAGAAGGTAGGGACATGTCCTCATGGTTAAGCGAAAGACTAAAGAATCGATTTTGGGGATACAAATATAAACAAAGGCAACTTGGTATTAATTTAATTAGTCTCCCAAATAATTAAGAATGCATCAAAACGTCTTGAGAAGACCATGAAGTTAAGATCCAATGAGAAGCGATTAAATTAATTAATAAGTGTTTTTAAGTCGTAAGAACTTTTAAGCCCATCGGTTCATGTCTCCGATTACCCTAACCGGTGGGTCCAATTACCTAAGTATACTCTTTATATCATTTTCTTTGAAAAACATTACATTACATCTTCTATAATTTTTTGCACAAAGAAAAACATCTTCTATAAATTATATATCATATATACACCAATGTCACATTAAACAATTTCATGTCATTCACTACACTTCAATTTACATGGGTTTATTTTGTTTCATTCTATTTTCACTTATCCATTAAAAGGTTGATTGGATATAGACTTGTAGCTATATATATATATTTTTTTTTTTTGGGAGACTCCGTGACTGTTAATTTTTATAAAATCGTGGAGTTTTTTTTTTAATAAACTTTAATTAATATAATGGAGATGATTGATTTAACAGTTGATAGCATATCTACATTCATTTTGACTCTAAAATAGTTGAAAAAAGTATGGAAATCTCTGTAAACAACGTTTAGTTGACTTATCATATACAAAAGTAAAAAAAAAAAAAACAAATCTGCTTTGAATTCTATATGGATGTGAAATACATGATTCAATTAGTTAAATCTTCTTGACCAACAACAAAAAAAAAAAGTTCTACATGATTTATTGTTTGTTAATTAATCTCTGCCAATTAACTCCTTAATGGTACTATTGTGATGCAAAGGCTGATGAGGCGTCTGGAAAATTGCATACCATTGATGTAAGTCTAATGCAATTGATCATGTTCGGTTCTTTCTCGTTTTTCCGCATTAGTATACCAATTTAAAATGAAAATTATTAATATTACCTTCACATATACATAGTTATCAAATTGAACATTTTCAAAACTTACTTATTATTTTTTATTATACTGTAAAAAGTAGATTCCAACTTACAGACGATTACACAACGGATAACTTTACTTAAATAAAAAAAATGACCGTAAATCATTTTACTCATCATTTTCACGATGACTTTATCCTAATTCACACACAAGAATATGATAAAGAATTAACCAAGCTAAAACTATAACAAGTTTGTTTGCATATATAAATATAGTGATTGGATTGGAGGCATGATCTAACAAATTTACACGATGGCATATTTCATGACTTCGAAACGATTACTCCTAGCAAAAATATTTCTGCTGATTCTTGTCGTATCATTGAAAAAAAAATAACTTTAGATGTGTGTGGGGTTGAGGTCGTGGAAAATAATGTACATACTGGTGAGGTTTTGGATGATGCAATGAAGTCTTTTGTAGCTTTGAAATGGTTAGTGCCCTTTATATTTTGCTTTTGGTTGACAATAATTTTGAGAGAAAATGATAGATTTGTTATGATACAAGAAAGAAGAAGACAGAGTAAAAAAGAAAAAAAGGAGAAGATCTTTTGTTGGAGACCAAAGAAGGTGGGGAACAAACTCAAGACATAAGTGGAAAACATAGAGTTGTATAGATGTAGGCATAATAGCTAGACGTTATAGGGTGCATTAACAAAAACTGTATATTTAAATATTAAAACGGGAGGTTAGGAATATAGCAAGGATATAGTAGTAGACGCATATACTCGACCCTAATCTGGAAAATTCGAATTGAATTATCTTAAAGATGTTAGCAACATGAGAACTACACACTATTATATAAAAAGTATTGCGAAAAAGGTTTTGACCAATGGAAATTGAAAAAGTAGAGAGGGAATTATAACCGGCAAACAAATCGGATCAAATCACATTTTGACTATAATTTAGTACATCAATGTTGGACTAGGCATTGTTCTAGGCTAGTTTTATAAGTTAGTCATACGTCATGCACAAGTCGGGTTTTGGTGGAAGTTTCGATTGGTTTATTCTTTGACAATGAGATGAATATTTGTGTCAAAGTGCATTTGAAGCGACTCTGTGTATGATCAAAACTGATTATGTTTTTGACAATTTAGACCACATGACTTACAAATCTTTCGATAACTCTAATGTTGATGACCTTTTGATTTTTAATGCATCATCAAATAATCGACCCTAGGTCGGAATGTCAAAACGTAATCTAGTACTATATCTTTTAATGATGCCATTAATTAGCAAACACAAAAAGTTCAAAGTTCGGCATCATGGTTAGAAGAGTTTCAGGTTGATGTCACTTCTATTTGATTCGTATCTCTTAAAAGGGATATATATGAGAGGCTTTTGTAAGGTAGAAATTAATTATGTCCAAGAAGATGATAAAACCTCAAAATTTTCTGAAATGGTGATTTTCAAGATTTCGATATATGTTTTGGAGGGTGATAAAATCGCATAAGTTTTGGTTATTTTTACTTTTTTCTTTTGGGGGAAAATTATATTTTTGAATAGTGCACTTGAATAATTAGTAGCCACCTTGCAAATTGAAAATGAGGTAATAATTAGATTCATTCAATACAACATATAAGTTTCGAAGACAAGCTTTGGTAATGGAAAGCTTTAAAGCTTTAAAGGATGTTTTGTGTTTGTGTTTGTGTTTGTGGACCAATTATTGTCTTGGAAATGAACTGTTTGGTTTGTCTACTTAGTGCGATCAAGAAGACAAAGAAGAAGACGCAGAAGAAGAAAATGGTGAGGTGTAATAATAATGTTGTAAAGAAACCACAAAAATAAATAAAAATAATGTATACGTTTTCTAAATTGGGTTATCCTAAAGATAATTTGTTTCCTCTTTTTGTTGATTTGTGGTGTGTGTTTTGGTCATCTATGTGCGATTCCTTTAATTGGTATATCGATAATAGTATATATTATATGGTTTTATGCGAGTGGGTGTGAAAGATAAGGAGACTTCTTTTCTCTTTTTCATTTTTAGGTTTTTGTTGGAATCCCACTTTCTTCAATTGCTCCCCCATGAAAAGGTTCATGTCTCAACCATTTGATCATTATCCTTTTTGTGTGAGCATGTTTTAACAAAATTTTCTACGAGCAATTCGACATTCTAAACCATAAAAATTCAGACAAATTTCAAGTTGTTACACAAGTCCTACTGTTTTTGTAAGGCTATATTCACATCAGATTTTCATTGCAAATACACAAGCTATCAAATGAATGTTGCAAGTACCAAAAAAGAAATCAAAGAGCATGTTATAGAAATTGTACATGTATTACTTTACTAGGCAAATATATAGTTATGATTATATCTTTGTACTTGTTTGAAGAGGTAAGAATATGCCAAAAATAAAAACACAATAATAGGTGTGTATTTGTTTGTGTGTGTTGGTTTTGTGGATTGTGCCACACTCACTTGCAAAGCTGAAATATTGGTTAAAAAGCTCTTTACAAAATAAGTGATGGTGGGAAATCAAACTTACTGACACACTTGTTAGTGGCCACATTAATTGGGGTAATATGTATATGTTTTATTCCTTTTGTTCAAAGTATTTGTTATCCAATACAGTTTTGTATCCAATTTAGTATGTTTTACTCATTCTTCTATGGGGTTTATACCAATAGAGGAAATGGGCTAAGTAACTAATTCACCAACATTCACAATTTGGCATCACTAAAGTATCTACCATGGAATTTATCATTTTCTTTAGAAAGTGATATTTTTTATTTTATTTTTTGGGGAAAAAAAAAAGAGTAAAATGAAGTCAAAAGAAATTTCATAGTTTTCTGAGAAACATCAGAGAACATATATTTGGTGTCAGTCTCTTCTAGTCTCGTTTGGTTTCGAAAGCCTCCCCTCACGCTCACATAGTCAGGAGAGTAATAATTAAACAAAAAAAAAAAATCTGACACGTTTTTCAGATTGCAATTTCGCTACAAACAAAAGAAAAATCTCTCACTCAAGTAAAACACTAATATTGGAACATAATTTGAATTTGCCTTCTGACATCAAGTTTCAACATTTGTCCCCTCTAATGTTTTTATTTTCTTACTGGATTTTCGTTATAATCTTGATTTTGTAATACTAGTACTAAAGTACTAACTATTGTGACCTCACTCAAAAACAGAGACTTGTCCATTCCAACTACAAGCTGCGACCACGTTAGGCAAAACAGGGTGGTATGCCACATCCACACAGGGCTGTTCATAGGCCTTAAGCTTCTTAATAAGCTCAGTGGATTTGTAGTTGTACATGTATACGGAACCGTCAGATGAGCCAGTGACTAAGGTTTCTCCATCCGGGCTGAAGTTGCATTTGATTGGGAAACCTGCGACCCAGTGACCTTCGAATCTCTTGTATTTGTTGAGCTTGAAAGGTGGGTTCGTTGAGAAGATTGCAGCGTAGTTTCCGTGTGATTGGGCGATGAACACTGGGTCTTGTGGGTGACGTTTGATGCAGGGGCATGTGTATGCTTCTACATAGACCTGAGGGGACAGACAGCAACAACAATAATTTTAATGCATAAACATGTTCTGCTTATGTTTACAGATGCAACTTAATCTAATTCCCAGATCTAAGATTAACTCTGTTATCATATGTATATTACTCTACTAATAATTTCATCAAACCAAGTAAATCCCCTTTTTAATAATATCGAATTCAAAGAAAATGCAGCATTGATATTAACTGAAAGAAGGTTATTGACAGTGATGTACTGACCTGATTAGACAGAGGAACCTCCCTCGAAATATCCCAAACTATAACAGCGTTCTCACTTATATTTCTGCCGGACACATCACTTGAAGAGACAAACCGCTTCCCACCCGCGATAAACTCAACATCAAGAATTGGCCCAAGATCTCGGATGTATTCATGCACGACTTTGTTGGCCCTAATGTCCCATAATCTAAGACTTCCTTTTGATCCACCGGAAAGAATCACGTTGAAATTATCTGGATGGAACTTAGCAACTCCAATGACCTGATCCTCCTTGAAATTTTGTGTTTCTACCCCTCTTTCAACATCAAATAGTCTCAATGTGCAGTCATATCCACAAGAAAGCAACGATACTCCTTGCTTTGACCACTTCACATTTTTAACCGGTGCATTATGATGAAGAAACTCCCGAACTTTCTTCTTACCATTGCTCCACACATTCCACACGTAAACAGCACCATCAAGCCCCGCAGAAGCAAGAAGATGAACTGCACATTAACTCTAATGAACAAATGAATGAGGCAAAGGATTTCACCTAATACTTAGCAAGAAGATAATCAGGAAGTGAAAAAGCCAAAACATACCATGACTTGTAGACCAATCAATAGCGGTGACCGCCTTTGTATGTCCAGTTAACGAAATCGATATCGAACTAGGCATTTCCGTTCGCGACGAGGATCCTCGACGTGTAACCGAATACAGAACATGGCGCGGCACATCAGAATCTGAGATGCTCCCGAGAACTGAGATTACGAAAGCTTCATATACATTAGTAAAAGGCAACAGCATAAAGTATTGCCAGATACAACCACAAACATTAAGCAATTACCCAAACTTCACAATTAGGCTAGTATTGTGTGATCATCTCCTTAATCTTTCATTTGAGCAACAAAAAAACACGATACACTAAATTCAAAACTACGAATTAACAGCGAAATAGATTAAGCTTGATTCGATTCGAAATTACCAGTAGGAGAACTCGACGTTAGTTTCTGACTCAACTCGGGACTCGGAATCGTTGAGATAGAGGCTAAAAGTGATCTCTCTCTCTTGGATACATACCGTCCTTGGACCGGAGCTGGAACCGGCACCGTAACGGAAGAGCTCGTTTGAGGATCGGAATAGGAATCGTGCGGAGGATACGGTCTACGAGATGGTTTGTACTGTCGCTCCTCTGGGAATGGATATGGACGCTTTGAAGGAATTGAAGGTTCGACGGAGAATCGAGAAATTAAAGGCTCGTCGGCTAATGGTTCAGGTTCGTCGTCGGAGTCATTGGCATACGAATTGCATATAAGATCCATCGGAGAGACGCGAAGTTGAATCAGCGAAGAAGGGACCTGCGATGAGAAGGAGAAGAAGCTGAACCTTCGTAGGCTTATTTGGGCCAGAATCATCGAGGCCCATTATAGTTTGTAGATGGGTATCCTTGTGAGAGTCGTCGGTCCGAGTGCTGCTAATCAAATTTTCGAATCGTAAGAATAAAAAGATACTTTAAATTCTTGAAGTGAATTAATACCTTTCACCTCTTAGAAATGAAATCTTATGTCTAAATTCTATTAAATAAACTATATATTATTCATCATCGAAAACAATGAGCCTGTTGTCAAAACATCGATTTAAGCTCATGAATTAGAAGAAAGTATGCTTAAGCCTTCATGGTATAACATTGATCAACTTTAATTAAACTAAAAAAAAAGCATGTTTGATTCTAAAAGATTGATTTAATTTTTAATGGAATTTTTCAGAGAGCATGTTTGAAGTTGAAAACCGCTTTTGAGATAAATAACATAATGAAAAATGTTATTATATATTTTTTTATAGAACATTAGTGAGATAAAACCAATTATTCATTGAAATATTAAATAATAATAACTTACTGTAAGTATAAAAAGCTATACTTTTACTTCTTGTAATTGAAGTTTTTATAATCATTTTTACTAACAATCTCAAGTTATTTTTTATTAAATATAATATGATACTTAGGTTGACAATCCAATATATCCGATGCCAAAAGATCGATATGTTTTAATTAAATTGATGACGAAGCATGTTTGGTGCTAAGAGATCGATCTAATTTAATGAGATTTACAAGAAAGCATGTTTGTAGTTGAAAACCGTTTTTGAGATAAATAACTTAGAGAGAATAGTTATTATATTTTTAGAGAACGTTAGTTAAATCAAACAAATTATTATATTAGAATAATATTAACTCATTGTCGGTATTAGAAATTATAATTTTACATTTTGGAATTGATTTTTATGATCATATTATTAAATGTCCCTATTTAATTCTAGTAAATATACTACATACATTTAGATATATTATCCATCTAGTAAATATACTACATACATTTAGATATATTATCCATCATTAGGAACCCTTTGTCCGTGTCAAAAGATCGATCTAATTTAATGAATTAATAATGAAACATGCTCGATGCCAATGGATTGTTCGATTTAATGAAATTAATAAAAAAAAAAAACATGTTTGATGCCAAAATATCGATCTAATTTACAAGGAAGCATGCCAAAAACTACAATTACTTATCACGATCATTCGCAGAAACGTATCTACTAACCATCTAACCAGATTTATATGTGTTTTCCTCTTTGAGTTATTATAGTTTTGTGATCATTCTTACTAACGGTTTCTACTTGATTATATTAATCCAATACGACAACATAGTATAAATTAATATAAATTTCTACATACTACAAATGCAATTGCTAAACACGATCATTTTCACTAACGGTCTAAACGAATTTATATGTGTTTCCTTCTTGGAGTTATTGCGATCATTCTTACTAAAAGTTTCTACTTCATTATATTAATATAATACGACAACAAAATTATAATAATATTAATTTCTCGGTATTACAAAAATACAATTACTAAACACGATAATTCTCACTAACGGTTTGAACGAATTTATATGTGCTTTTTGGAGTTTTTACAATCATTCTTACTAACGCTTTCTACTTCACTATATTAAATATAATACGACAACAAGGTATATTATCCATCATCAGACAAAAAGTGTTTATCGCCAAGAGACCGATCCAACTTAACGAAACATTCTCAAAATTAAAAACCGTTATCCAGTTAAATAACTTATAAACATAATATATTAGTATATTAAGCAGTTATAAGTCATTTTTAGTAACACAATACTAACTTAAAATGTTGAAAATATAAGTTTATTATACATTTTAACTAAAACTTTGATGTGATGTAATATGTTCATAAGTTTTTTGTTGTAGAGTTTATTTATATCACCAACACTCATAGTATACATTATACAATACGTATAGTCAGTCTAAATTCAAATATTTGAAACATAATTGTTGATTGAAAAATATACTTTGGTTGTTGAACAACACTTCCGTTACAATATACAATCCAACAACAAAATCATTCACATACGGAAAAAAAACGTGAGGAACATTTATCAGTTTCTGAATTTGTTGGGAATCAACACCCAAAAAAAAAAAAAGTTGAATTTTCTCGATTAGAGACCCCATGCATATAAAACTGTATTTATCTTGTGTCTTACACACAGTTTTTTTTTTTGAGTTTATGATTTCTCCAATAAATTAAAAAAAAAACTTCCAATAATTACAAAAGGACCCAACAGAAACTATAATTAAAAGAACAAAAACAAACAAATGCAATCACAAGTCTCACGCGTGTAACGTTGCATGAGCCACACGTGGGCCAAACTAACCGGGTACCTGCTGCGTCTACCCACAGAACAAACGACCGCTTCGAAAGTACGAACATAATTGACAACTCACTCTCCAGGTAACCGGTACAAATATCAGCCACGTGGCGTGAATCTATTAGCTAATCGTCAAGTAAAACCCGGTCCCCTGATTGGTTCACGCAATCATTTTTGGACCCTCTCTGTACTGTGTATCGCGTGACTCTCTCTCTCTCAGTGGCATTTTTGTAAAAACCTTCAAATATAATCTTTAAAAAAACAAATTTTACCGTGATTATCTCATATAATTAAAATATACTTATCTCTTAATCAAACAAAAAGATAAGATTTTGTAGGTTTTAGAAATATGAACAATAATTTCCAAATAAGATTTCAGTTTATCCAAATAAAATAAGAGATAGATTCGAAATCCAAAAAGACGAAAGTACCCTTCGAAGAGAAGAGTGAGAAAAGCAAAATATTATTAAAAAATTTGTGACTGCGGGGGAGAGTTTAACCGTTACTTTGTTTCCCTTTCATGCAAAAGCTCTATATGACACAGAGCTTACGTGGCACTGCTTAAAAGACAAATATGGTTTTGTAAAAAATAACGTAACTGAAATTTTTTTGGACAAATATTTTATTCTCAGTCAACTTCATACATTAAATCACAAAGTAGCAAAAATTTGTAACTACTATTATAATTTTAAATTGTACGATTCTCGTGGACGGTTATTATCATTTTCTAGCTAGTAAATTAGAAAAAGTATGTTCTATTGGGGCAGTATCACATATGAGTAAAGATGTATTTTATAAGAAGCTTTCATCACCAACAAATGAAATAAAATATATATATAACAAAAATGATGAAGCATTCTGTATTACTCCTTAAACTATCAATTTCAAGCATCTAATTCATACTCATTAGGTGTTGGATTACCCTACAATCAAAGTTAATTATATACATAAGCACGTCCCTTCTCTATATACATACAAACATCGGACTATATAATACACATGCTTTTGCTGTTGACAAGTAAAAACAAAATAAACACAGGCGTTTTTTTTTTTCTTTTTCTTCACATGATTAGCTTTTTAGCTAGATACAAAAATCTAAACAAGGATACAAATATCAATTTAGACAAAAAAAAATACTACTTTCCATGAATTAAATATATATTTTCAAAAGTGATGTTTACTAATTCAAATATCAATTTTAGAGAAATAGTATTTTCATGAACTAATTATATAAAGAACAGTGATCAATTAAATAAAATAAATAGAAAAACCTTCATAGGAGCCATGGTGGTTTAATAGCTTAATACACATTTTATCTAATTATAAGATATAAAGAGATTTTTTTTTCTTAATTAGACACATAATTCACAGTAATATTAATGTTTTAAAGCTAATTTTGGTGTGTCCAACCACTCTTTTGTCATTATTTCTCCACATGGAGTTTATTATTTTCTCAATAAACTCTTATCAATCGCTATATTATTTCCATTTTATCTCTAAAACTTTAGAAAACTTATAATATTATAATCACTTAACCATATCTATTATAATAACATATATGGACCCAATCACTCACCAACCAAGGGCAAATCCGTCATTTCATCTTCTCCCTTCTTTCCCCCATTTAAGACCACCCCCTCTCCCCACTTGAATCATCGCCGTAAAAAAACTATCTCTCTCTCTCTCTCTGTCTGTCTAACTCAGTGAAAAGCTATGAACAAACTCATCTCCCGTGTGATCTTTCTCCTCACCACTCTCCTCCTCTCCTCCTCCCTCACCTCACCGATGTATTATCCATCGGTTCACGACGTCCTCCGAGCTAAAGGACTCCCCGCGGGACTCTTACCTCAAGAGGTCGAGTCTTACATTCTCCACAACGACGGTCGTCTCGAGGTTTTCCTCGCGAGGCCGTGCTACGCCAAATTCGAGACCAACGTCCACTTCGCCGCCGTGGTGAGGGCGAATCTGAGCTACGGGAGCCTCAGCGGAGTAGAAGGGCTCTCGCAGAAGGAGCTCTTCTTGTGGCTTCAGGTGAAAGATATCGTCGTCGAGAATCCAAACTCCGGTGTCATTGTTTTTGATATCGGCGTTGCTTTCAAACAGCTTGCGCTCGCTCTCTTTGAAGATCCTCCCAAGTGTAACCCTTACGGTAAACAATTTTTTTTTATTTAACTAAAATTTAGTTTTTCTCTGGTTTTAGTGATTAAAACAGTTATTTTGGATTTTCTTGAATTTAATTTTCATGATGACTATACATATATTATCTTAATTTCCTTTTTTTTTTTTTTTACTATATTACATTTTGGCATTTGTCTAGTCATCATGGGGTTAGCTATTTAGTCGGCTTTGAAGGTTATTATTCTAATTGAGCTTCGTAAAGTATATGCTTTTTATATTTTTACTAGATACGGAGCTACTCATAATGTGAAAACAAATAATAAATGCTGTTTTTTTTTTACCCAACAAAAATTCAAATATTTAAGTTTTTCTTTGCAAATTTCTAGATTGAATGTTTGTTTGCAAAGATTGACATTTCCCAAAAAAAAACATCGTTTTAATGTGTATGGTTTATTTCAATGGTTATAGTTCGATATTATCGTTATCAAGAGCTTTGTAAAAAAAATTACTACTTATGAATTTAATATTATAATTGTGGACATGTGGGGAATAGAAGTGGTACAGTGAAGTGAAGTCATGAGGTTGTGTTGTGTTGTGTTTTTTTCTTTCTCGTATGTGTTTTGAAGACTTTGAAAACTCTTTTGGATTTTATTGTCTGGTATAAATTTGCCAGTTTCAATACGAGTCTTGTCTCTGTAACTGCTGACATAACACTTCTTTTACTTCTTTTGCTTTTTCTTGTTTTTTATTTGAATGAGGAGTATATTCGATCAGTAACTTTTACCAAAACAGTTTATCATTTTTTTTTTACTTTACCAAATATGAATAATACGCACAGTTCTCTTTTCATAGTTCGAAATTTCGAATAAACCCACTTCAAGAAACGGTAAGACTACTACATAAGTACATAGCATATAATGAAAATCACTTTTTTTTTTCTTTTTCATTTTCACATTTTTTGGATGGTACATTTACAGAAAGCAAGGTTTATTGATTGAGTTTATGTTTCAGGTGTTTTGAAGAGAAAGACGAGAAGAGACAGAGGATTTAAAGCTCAGATGTAAGAAGTAGAGAGAAAAGAGAGCTAGAGCCTGGAGTTGTCTGTTTGAAATGTTTCATATTTGTAAACTAATCAGAATGATTAGTAGTATGTTAATTTTATGATCGTAGAATAGAATTTGATTTGAGAGTTCTTGTAAAGATGAGATTCCCAATGTTCTATTCTCTGTGTTTAAATTTCTATATATATATTTCAGTATCTTTGACTAAAACTGATGATGTCTTTGTTAGTAATGTCATGATTCGACAATCACTTATGTAGCCTAGTGGGTCATAGTTTCGTTTTTGTGTGAGTTTTGTGATGATTACAAGGTTGCGTCAAAACGTAAATCAATAAACGTAAATCGACTTTAAAAATACATCAAACACATCAGTGGACTTTCAATAACATTCATACAATTAAAAAAAAGTAAATCTTATAATTTATAGAGACTTACGTAACCTTGTTTTTTCTCGCTTTACTACTTGTGAGTTGTAAACCTAGTTAGTATTTATGTGGTTATATCACTACACTAACGTTGGACAAATTAAAGATAATAATTACTTAACAACATATTCAAGCCCTTGTTACTCAAGTGCACTAACCAAAAACATCTATAAAAAGATTGGTCTACTTCAAATTCTTCTCATTCAAGTCCTTGTAGTAATTAGCTTTGAGTACTTTTTAACTAATCTTCTCTCTCACGTAGATAAAAAATGATTTAACAAGTTTGTCCGGCAACAGAGCATCGTGACCGAACCAGTATCAAACCATTCTCGTTCTCGATTATTTTTCAGAACTTGAATAGCCGGGTTTGTCACGAACCTGCACTATTTTCTAAGAACAGGTAGAATAAACCATAGAATTATATATAAATATTGAGCACTAATGAGAAATTGGTGAAGAAAAAAAATGAAACCATATCGACACAAAAACTTGGAATGACAAAAAAAATGTCCTCCAAACTTTGAAAATGAGATAGATATGTCCATATTTTTGGTCATGTGTAGATGAAAATGCAATAGAACATACTTCAGGGAGACCCAAATGTAGAATCATTGCTTACCAATGTCACATGTGAAGGTGACCAAGTTACAGCTCCCTCCTAAACCAAGTGCGGATGCATTAACTGACTCATTGGGATATCTTCTCAGCCAAGATGCTTCACAGCTTAAGTCGTCGGTTCAATTTGATATATTTCTATCATGTTTATTTTGCACACTTTCTCTTTTAAAAAATGTTCAACCACTCGATGGTTAATTGTATTGCTTCAAAATTTTGTATAATTAAAAACCCAAATCAATTAATTAATCAAAATGTTTGCACAAAAATGTCAGATATATTAAACTACATTTTAATTTTTGGGATAATTATTCGACTAATCTTCTGATTCTGAAGTGAATGTATCATCGAATATTTTAGTGAGTGAAACCACTAATCCATTACTAATTGGTTATTAATATGTATCATGTAAGATCAAAATGAACTCTCATGAAGATCTCAACCATCTCATTAAAAAGTAGTTTACGAGTTCAAGGCAAAAAATATAAAAACAAATCGTAACTGAAATTTTACTTGATTAAGTAGTGATCCTTAAAATTTAATAAATGAAAAATCTAAAACAAAATATATGTTCTGAATCACAAAATATTCATTGAGAAAAAATGGAAAATTTTATGATAAACCGAATCTAGATGAACAAAGCAGATTCGTTAATAAGATACACTTTGCTCATTTGGGGAACTAATTACCTTAATTAACCTTAATTAATTAATATTAATACTGAAACGTCGACCATTTTTATAGCTGACGTCATTTTGTTACCTTCGCGGATAAGGTATTATTAATAATCATTTAATATTCTCCTTCTTTAAAAATCGATCCACAAAAGAAATCTAAGAATCGTAACAATCAATCGAAACGGTGATCGAATCGTATAGTGCAATCACACACCATGGGAGGAGGAAGAGCGATGGCGACGGCTGCGAAGGTTGCTGGGATCGGAGTTGCTAAAGGAGGATTCAGAGGAGGATTCGGCGGGTTTTCTCCGGCGACTGAGCAGTTCAAGGTTAAAACCGCCGCCGCGGCGACTTCTAAACCGGCTTCGGCTTCGATTTCATCGGTGGCTCATCTTTCTGCTGAAGAAGATGGGATGGCTGTGCAGAGACCGGTTTGGGATGATTGGGAATTCGCTGAAGAGGAGCCGATTCCTAGGGTTGTTTTCAGCAAGCCTCCTAGTCTTGAAGAAGCTAAAGAAGCTACTGAAGATCTTAAAGAAGCGATTAATATGTAAGATTTTTCTCGAATTTGACTCCGAATTAGGCTAATTTAAGAAGTTTTCTTGTTTCTAGTGATTCATTTGAGATTAGGATTTGGAGAAAGTAGAAGAAAGGATCATACTTTGAAGAGTATTTGAATCTGTTTTTGTGTGCTTATATGTATGTTTGATGGTTGTTAATGGATTAGGGTGTATATGACATCTCCAAAGTCGTCTGCTGCAATGGAAGGATCATCAAATGATGGTGGTTCTGTTTCCAAAATGCTCTCTGGTTTTCAATCTTCTGAGAAAGCTGTTCCACAAGTTGCTCTTCAAGCATTTTCTTTTCTCAGTGAAAACACTGCTGCACAGGTATATAAAATAACCCCTTTTTGATTTTGTATTGGCAGGAGTAACATTTGGTTTAGCTTGGCTGGTGGTTTTACTCTTTGACATGTTTAAGAGTCTAAATTGTTTCTCTTTTTTACAGACTGTTGTTGCTTCCATTGCGTGTGACCCAAAAGTATGGGATGCTGTTATGGAAAATAAGGATCTCATGAAATTTCTCCAGACCAACAATACAGGTAAAGAAGACTTGGCTATCTAACTAGTGATTCCTGTGGTGTACATGTCTTGATGATAAAAAACCACTTAACAGAGACTTTTTTTTTTTCCATAATTCAGCTGCTTCCTCTCAAGTTGAATCTGACAATGACGACCAGTTTAGCACGACCGAGTGTGAAGTTATTGAAGAAAAGCCACTGGAAATCTTAGAGATTCTGCAAGACATGAAGCTAAAAGTGGTTCGAATGATGGAAAACGTCTCATCCTACTTTGGGGGCTTGTTTGGGTTAGGATCTGAAACAGAGGATGGAAAAGACAAGAAGCAGACATTGTTCAACGACCCTCGTACGCTGTTTGGACTAGCTGTGGTTGTCATCTTCATGGTAGTTTTGAAACGTGCTTAAGATCTCTGTTGTTCCTGAATTCGCCGATATAGCGGAAAAATAACTACCTACTGTGATCTCTTTCCTGTGCTTCGTTATCGTTTATACTTTCTTTTTAAAAAATACTGGTTGGAGTGATTTGGAACCGTCTTTGGATCTTTTCATATTATAAATAAAAAGATCCTTGGGATGTTTTATCACTTATCTGTCTACAATATAATTAAGCAAAAACAGATTAGTGAGAGCACAAACACGTCTCTCTTTAGCATATTAGATCACACTTGTTTCTGTATATGTATTGCAGTTTACGAATACACTACAAAGTATTACTTTATTCCTCGGAAAACTCAAATTCAAATCTTCGACTATGTTCTATGTCTTCTCTTGTTGGTATGGTAAGCCGCAGCATATGGGGATGAGGCAAGAGAAAAGGTCGTGCCTCCCTCACTGTCTTATTGCTAAAGAAGAATGTTGTCGGAGGACTTGAACTTCATTTGCAGGAACCAAGATTGTAAGTTGATTAATGTCTAAATCGAAACTTATTCAGGCAGAACCAAGGAAAAGCTGTAATGGTATTCAAGCTTGACCAAGAAGGCAACGTTGTTTACACTTAAAACAGTAGAGATCTCCGCATTGTCCTCTCAAAATCTGAACCTTTCTGTGTCCCTGCTTCTTCCTTTCCTGGCATGGGCTCTAACTGCCTAGTAGTTTGGGAGTTTGAGTTTGTCTTTTCAGTCTTGGAAGTTGGAATCATCAAATGTAGTTCTGAATAAAATTTGAAATAGAAAGTTTTCCCTCAGCATGTCTATGTTAATTTGCATGAATGTTGAATGCAAGCATGGAATCCAAGCAAGAAACTTGACAGTTCAGTTGCACAGTAACAATTTGGGTATTTTGTCTGCTTAAACGAAAATTGAGGGGTTTTTCTGATAATAACAAAACGTTTAGAGGGGTTTTCTGAAAATTTGAAATTTCTCAGTCCCCAGATTCGTTAAATTTATCAAATACATCGCCCTCCGGCGTCGTCGTGAACTATGACTCATTCCGGCTATATAATCGGCGATTTCATGCTCCTGAGCGCGGCGGTGAAGCCATGGATGGCGTCTCCAGTATTTCTCGAGCTCGTGTTGCCATTGTTCTACACAAATCCTGTAACTATTCCTTTTTTATTTATTATTATATCAATTACATTTGATTCAGCTCTATTTATGCTTGAATCGTCTTTTATCTGTATATGAATAATCCGTGTGTACATATAAATTCCTACTCTATCTCTATCTTTGATCTCTCTTTCTCATTTCTCTTGGACTTTGAACTCTTGTTCTGTTGCCTTGTCCTGTAGAAGCATGCTTGAATCTGATGTTGAAGAACTAAGTAGTGTTTGAAACCATAGAGCAGAGGCTTTAGGGATCCTTGTGAGATTGTTCTTGTAGTCCACGTAGTAGATCCCAAACCGGACTGTGTATCCTGAGTTCCATTCCCAATTGTCTAGCAATGACCACACAAAGTATCCTCTTACATCGCATCCATCATTCCTGCAAATTTGCACTTTCATTTTAAACTCAAGACTCTTTGTGAAAGAATGAATCTTTGGTAAGTCAAAACACTTTACCTTATGGCAGCTGATAAGTTTGATAGGTAATCTCTGTGGAAGCTAATCCTCTTGTCATCTTCTAATGCTTTCTCCATGTCTATGAATGGATTGTTTTTCTCATCCATGCCTGTGATATCACCACCTTCAATGTTAAAAGATCTGATTTTTTTTTATTGATATTGTTTTGGGATTTGAGATGTTTACCGTTTTCTGTGATGATTACAGGTGGGTTTCCATACATGTCTTTAACATACACTGCCAGTTTCCTGATTCCCCATGGGACAATGTGTAGCCAGCTTGATCCAGCCTGATTCAAGTTAGTTTTTTTTCTTATCAGATAATTGTTTAGTTTCATTTTAGTGAACATGTCATCAGAGAAATACATACTCTTTCTCCTATAGCTATTCCTCCACGATAAGCTACAACATTTAGAAGCAAACAAAGAGTAGGAACATCAGCTTAATTTTTTTGGTTTTGTAGCAGAGAATGATATGAGAACTGGTTTTGTTTCTTACAGCTTGTAATCACGGCTGAATCAGAAGAAGCATCTTGCAGAATCAGTTTCCTTATCCTAGTTCTGTCGTTCCTCGCATATAATGTGGTGTAGTGGTTGATCCCCACGTAATCAAATGCCCCTTTTATAGCTTTAGACATCTCTGGTGTTATCTTAGGTAGTCTCTCTTCCACTAGACTCTTCATTGAAGCTGGATAGTCTCCATAGATTAGAGGATCCATAAACCTATATCAAATCTCATTCTGTCACTTTTGACTTTCTCTCAAGTAAACTTCTCTACGCAAATATTCACAGATAAAAGGATTTTATATTTACCATCCAATCCCAAAATCCATGGCTCTTCGAGCTGCATCTTTGTCCTCATCACAATCAGACATTGGCTCATACCATTTTGCATCTAATGCTATCCCTATTTGACCATGTTGTTTCTCCTTCCATATAGAAAATTCCCACATTTTATTCTGCTCTTAGAATCATAAGATTTTGTTCTGTTTTGTTTTCTTACCTTGAAGTTTCTATGGTAGGTGTGGTAAGCAGCAGCATGAGACAGAAGAATGTTATGAGCTACAATGTATGGTTCCACCGATGACGTCCCCTTCTTACAAAACCAATGTCCCAGAAGTGAGCACCTCCCTGGAGCCTGTATCCCTGTGTCATAGCCTTGGATCGATACACCGTGAGGCTCATTGAAAGTGACCCAGTGCTTCACTCTATCTCCAAATGCTTTAAAACAGGTGAATGCATAATGCTCAAAATCATCCCTGCACCATTTATTTAGCTTTTTGATTTCGTAATCATCTCACCATATCAAGATTTCACATTTTTATCAAAAGATCATATACTCACACGACTTCTCTGCTTAGCCATCCTTCATATCTGTCTTCTAAAGCTTGTGGGAGATCCCAGTGATACAATGTCACATAAGGTTTGATTCCTTTGGCTAAAAGAGCATCTATTAGGCTGTTGTAGTACTTAACTCCATCTGGGTTTATTTCCCCTGTTCCATCTGTTCAAACCCGAGTTTAACAGACCCGTCGAAACTCGGTAATAACAATACTCTGATCACAGCCAAATGAGTTAGACTTACTAGGGAAGATTCTTGACCAAGATATAGAGAATCTGTAAGCATCCATTCTCAGATCTTTCATCAGGTCTATGTCACTCTGTGATAGGAAAAAAAGAAAGAAAGAAAGGTTCTTGCTTCTTAGATTCTCTCATTTATGTCCTGTTGCGTCTTATCTTAGATTTGTTTGGATGAGGTTGGTTGCTCTGTCAAGAAGCAACCCTACTTTTATCTTCAAGCATAAGTCAACTAATGTGTTCTCTTTAGGTGAAACTTACGTGAAACCTATGGTATTGATCGACTGTAGTATCCGCATTGCTGAAATCTAATATCTTTCCTGTCCATCAAGAACAATAGCATTGGATTAACTGAAAACTGTGTTTTATTCTGGGTTCTTCGTGAAGTTTTTTGGGTTTGTTTCTTTGATACCTGGTTTCTTGGTGAAAGTGTCCCATATGCTCTCTCCTTTGTTTCCTTCTTTCACAGCTCCTTCAAACTGATTTCTTGCAAGAAAATGTAGCGATTGTCAAAATCTTTTTCCTTTCTTGGATCAGTTTGAAGAAGAAGAAGAAGACTGTCACCTGGTAAGCTGAAGAAGCTGTCCCGAACACAAACCCATCTGGAAAATTTGCTCTGCTGATAGATGCTGATGTAACATGATCTATAGGCACGAAGAAGAAGATCAAGAACGGAAACAGAACCAGGACTGGTCTCATTAAAGATTCCATTTTTGGGTCGCATGAATAAAAGAGAAAGAGACAGAGAGAGAGAGAAGGAAGATAAAGGGATGAATATGTGTAAATGAAAGATTTGGAGGCAAGAAAATGGAGTTTTTGTGTGTCTGTTTTTAATTTGTAAAGTTGAAGAAGAAAGGGGAAGAGTGCAAAACAAAAGCTCTTGTCTTTTGAAGGCTCTTCTTTGCTGTTGACATTTGTTCACTCTAACTTTTACTGTACACGTTTCTTATACTTGTGCCAAAAACTTGAAAAAAAAGTGTACTTTTAAGATTAAAAAAAAAAAGTTTGTTAGTGAGACATTAATTCACCAAATTAACAATTACCTATGTTCTTTATTTATGTTTGTAATTTGTAGTCGAGGATTTTTTTATTTTTGTAATCCCAACTAGTACAAGTTCACAGATTGAACCCAAAAAAATAATGTATTTTAGGAGGGGGGGAGTTATTAAATTAGTTTAGAGATCTAAGCCAAATTATGCGTCGTTCATTCTTTTATCAAAGTCAACTGTAATTTGTTGTATATAGTTTATAAATAAGTAAATGCTAGTTAAAAAAAATTAATTAGGTACTGGTTAAATATTAAAGATTTGGGTGTAAGGTTTTTTTTCTTTTTATCAAAGGAAAATCTTGAATTTTTTTTGTAAGAACTGTTAATGGGCTCTTTTAAGCCCATGAATGAATTTTGACGTGAGTAGTATAATTTAAAAATCATATAGTTAGGCTCTTTTGCAACATAACAAATGTATGGAGAGATTTGACCACATTAATGGATGAGAAATTATTCTTTATATTTTTTTTACATAGTTATTTGATATGCATCATAGTTATTTAATTTTCTATCGATTTGATTTTTTTTTGTTATTTATTACATTATCACCATATATGTTTATTATTTAATCATATTACAAAAAATATCAACCTATCAAAATTACTTACATACCACACATATGATTATGATGAACAGTTCCACGAACATTAAGACATGCGGCTCTATCGATAACATCTAGATTTTCTAATGATGATTTTTATGTGCATCATACCAATGATGGAGAATATTATCTCTAACATTTATATTTATCTTATTATAAATTGCATGTATGCACATCCTTGAACACATTAACCCTCCATTTACCAGTTACTTAGATTCTCAAATCCTACAAGAATTTCCAAATCTATGAATCAATATTATTATGGAGTTAGTAAATTAATATAAAAATATTTAACTTAATAGTTTAAATCCTAAACAAAAGCATATCCATCAGTAAATAGTATACAAAGTTGATTAATTTTAGTTGAATTTTTTTTATATATATGTTTTTAGAAAGCTTTGTGCATGCAGTTTTTAGATTTTCGAATGTTCAAAGTAGTTTTTTCGGTCACAAAGATTGCCAAGTAAAAAAAAATTGCATGTATTTTTAGATTGTGCGATATTTTTGTACAACCAACCGTTTTCTTTAAGAAAAATGACGCAGAGTGTGCATGGTTTGAGAGAACGAAGATGGTGTGAGAGAGAGAGCTAAAAATAGAGTCACGTGAAAAAAACAAAATTTTATTCTCCGTCTCTCCAATATTATTATGGAGTTAGTAAATTAATATAAAAATAATTTAAGTTAAATAAATAATTTAAGTTAAAGAATATTTAACTTAAAAGTTTAAATTCTAAACAAAAGCATATCCGGTAGAGAATAGTATATATAGTTGAATTTTTTTATATATGTTTTAGAAAGCTTTGTGCATGCAGTTTTTAGATTTTCGAATGTTTAAATTAGTTTTTTCGGTCACAAAGATTGCCAAGTAAAAAAAAAATTGCATGTTTTTTATAGATTGTGTGATGTTTTTGTACAACCAACCGTTTTCCTTAAGAAAATTGATGCAATATCATTATTAGTATGTATATAATTAGTCAATCCCATTAGTGATTTAAAGCAACATTTTACCCATTTTCAAAATTAACATAAACTTTTTACTCTTTCAATGTATATAGTTTTTCCGTAACACCAAATATATTAGATCATAAACTTAATTGTAGTTTTGAATATAAAAAGAAAGCAAAGTTTCGTAAAAGAGTCATCATAACCATTTAATGATCTATTTATAAATTTACAAGAGAAATTAGATAGCATATTAATGCTGATATAGATGTTGGATTATATGTATTTATGATGGAAATGATTTTTAATTGGTTGTTCTAATTAATTAATGACCGTTTATATTCAATACTTATAAGTATAATATAATAATTCAAAACAATTTAAAAATAAGATTAAAAAAATATAACAGAATTCATGATTTAATACTTCACAATAAAATTAAACAAATATACCGTTTATATTCAATACTTATGTATATATTTTAACTTTTAATGTAGAATATGGTACGATAATAGAGTATTACCTTAACATACTTACATAGAAAACCTACCAGATAGTTTTCTATCCCAATGAATAACTATTGTCGGAAAAAAAACAAAAAAGAATTGTATCATTTATGAAAAACCAACATTAACCCATTACAAATGCAGTTTGATGTAATTTTGATTAACTCTTATGTTAAAATAAAAAATGTATATATTTGAAAATAGGATCATAAACTTTAAATTAAATACAGGGGTCTATCCGTCATTTTTAACTTTAATGTATATATTTCTTGTAGGTCTATCGTATTCGCAAAAACCCTTTGCTTCTCAAAACTCAATCGATTAGAAAGGAAGCTGCTTTTGGTTAGGGTTTAAGCCGTTAAAACCTTTTTCTAAATCCAAACGCCACCGAATCAATCAAATGGCGATGGCTATGAGACTTCCAGCGATTTCTAGAGCGGTGACGGAAGTGGCTTTAGCTCCGGTTGGTTTGAGACGGCTCTTCTGTTCAAATGCTTCCAGGTTCTCTTTTTTGTCCCCACAAGCTGAAACTCAAACACCGGCTCGCCCTCAGGCTGAACCTAGCACCAATCTCTTCGTCTCCGGTAATTATAATCCCTTTTCATCTCTCGATTCAATCATTTCTGGGTTTTGGGTAGATTTTGGAAATCATCCCTTTTGAATTGAGATTTAGACTGTCCCATCGGAAACCCAAAAGCATAAGTATTTTTGAACATTTGATTAGAATTTAATGTTCTCAGATTTAGATTTATATGTGTTTGAGAAATGAAGCTGAGATTTTTAGATTTCTATGTATTGGTAACGAGTGATGTTTGGTGTGCTTAGCGTAAGAATGAATTGTAAGAATGAAAGAGAGCTTCATCTCTTACACTTAGCTTGAAGGCTTCTGTTTTTCTTAATTATCTTGCTTGTGTCAATCAGTATTGAAATGCAGCTTACCATTGGGCTTTGATGCAAACACTTTTGATTATGCAGTTTTTTTCAGTTTTGTTCCTGCATAACCTCTGTTTCTCACTTTGATCACATGGTCATTGAATCACTGGCCATGAGTATATCATAGACCTATGTATACAGCTCATTTAACATATCATGTTAAGTCTGATTACTGTCTTTTTGTACGCCATCTAAGTTCAAATTAGTTTAGATGTTGTGTCTCAGTTTCCTGAAGTGCTTTTTTTTTTGGCCATGTTATACTTGTTTATGAAGTTGGAAAGTTTATGTGTAACGGAATATCTTTGTGCCCCTGACTATTTTCAGGGCTAAGTAAGCGTACCACTTCTGAAGGACTTAGGACAGCTTTTGCTCAGTTTGGCGAAGTTGCTGATGGTGCGTTCCATATTACCATACTTTATGTGCATTAAACTAGTTGTCAAGAAAACTAAGTGTAACGATTCCTTTCTCTCAATTTGGTTTTGTAGCTAAGGTTGTCACAGACAGAGTATCAGGATATTCCAAGGGGTTTGGATTTGTTAGATACACCACCTTAGAAGATTCTGCAAAAGGCATAGCTGGAATGGATGGAAAGGTACTATCCATTTCTAATATCCATTCCTCGATTACCAAATCAAATTCTGTTTAGAGATTGAAACTGACAAATACCAAATGGGCTAATCTCCTCTCTGTGATTCTCTGCAGTTTCTTGACGGCTGGGTCATATTTGCAGAGTATGCAAGACCAAGAGAGCAATCACAGTCATACCAACCTCAGAACAACATGTCTCGTCCTCCATATTATGGTAACCGCTAGAGAGACAGCTTTCTTATGAAATCTTTCTATTCAAATTTGTGCTTCATTCTATCCTCTTCTATATGATCAAACTGTTGTCTCAGTGGCTTGTTATTACCCTAGAAGTTGAGAAACTCGAAATTAATATTTTATGAGTAATAACCAAAAACTGTCATTTACAAGACAATGCTAAGTGTAATAGCTCGTCAAGAGGAAGATATGAGTATTTTGGCTTACATGGCTTAAGTCTCGAAGACTTGAAACGTTACCGACGATTTCTAACTTTGTATGGATCCGGTTTAGACCCGCTTCAGTTTTGTTCATTTGTTTGGTTACCACAATATCTTGAAATATGGTATTATGCTAATTGATCGTTTTCATAAAACCCAATGGGTCCGTAGCCATTAGCCAATCACTAACTCACAATTTTCGTTTAGATGCAACCACTTAACATTAAAAGTGATGATTATAACAAATGGGAACGAGTCATTGGGCCACAACATTTTGAGTTCTCACGATTTCACGTGGAGCTGTCTAGAATCTACACGAAACATTGTTATACAACATGTGGACCGAACAAAAACCAAAAACACAAAATATCATTCCCAAATACTAATGGCTTACATGAGTTTATGCAATAAATGTTACAAAGACAAAAAAGGAAACAAAATATGCAGAGGAGATACCGTTCATACTATAACATTCCTTCGCTGTCCAATTACGTTTGGTGAGACAATTCCCTCTTTCTCATGCAACCAAATTCTAATATTACAACTCATCATATCACTCCAAAAATCAAAGAGATACCCCCATTTTTGGAGTGTACTCGGCTTATAATGGTAATAGTGATATGTTTTGTTGTTTTTTATCCTTAGACGCAATGAAAAGTTAGTTGTAATAAGAAATGTCGACCGAAACGTGTACAAATGTTTCTTTGTTTCCAAGTTCTAGGAGTGGGCACAAGTCAAATTCAACTGCACAAACTAATCAAACTAATCGGATAACGTTTGTAATTAAGTTCTTTTCAATCCGCTATATATGATCCTAGCCGAGATGTAATCCTAGCCACGTAGTGTCATGTTGAGAAAACTTGATAAGCTCACTTGTGCCCTCTCATTCTATTCGATCATGTGTGTTAGGATTATAGATTCAGATCAGTGTTCGACTTATGATTGCATTGTCGCATTGACACCTAGGAAGTAGCAAACGTAACTTACTGATTAACTTCCTTAGTCATATAAACTACAAAGTCTTGTGGTATTATTGAGAAAATGAGAGCAGGCATATATATATTATTTTAAAGTTAGTAAAAACAAATTGTAATAACAAAGAGATGAGTCATCGTCGTTTTTGTTGCGCCGCATGTGTGATTCCTTTCAAATGTGACAACGTCTTAGACTAGTCGTTCTCTTTGGTTAGTTTTCGTATCATGAATTAGTAACACATAATAATAACAATAAGTTGGACCATATCGTTTTCTATATCGTTAGGAGATATGAGTCTCAGAGTCTGATAACTGATCTTATTTAATATAGTTCTTATCTACACTCTAGAGGAGTTTGTTTTTACGTTCTTACTTCTTATCATTATATTCGTATATTTATTATAAGGTTTCCTCATTGCCACGTATAAGCACATGCAGATAATTCATCATATATACTATTACGTACTATGTTGAAGAACCCGATCAAAGGAAACGTTGATAACGAATGTGAATAATTTTATTTAGTACAGATCAAAAATATTACTACGTTTACAATCAACTCAAATAACCATTTCGTAATCTTAATCTGAAATTTATGTAAGATTTTTTTTGTTTCCAATATATATACATCACATGCAACACCTTATTGTGATAAATTAGAGAAATCAATTCACCTCTGAGTAAATAAAAAGCGTCGACAAATATTAATAATTAAGTGGTCTAAAATTATTTTCGATAGAAAAAAACAAAATGCATTTTTGTATATATACTAAGAATACAACAAGTTCGGAAACAAAAGTGATTCATGTCTACAAATCTATGTATGATCATACTTCGAAAACAATTACGCTAATTATATATATGCTTCCATGATTCCATGTTTCGTTATTTCTGTTTTTATCTGCAAATTAAATCAGGTTTCTGTTATTATGTACCAAAAAACGAACTATGCTTATTGAAATATTAGACCCAACATGAATTAGACTTGAAAAATGACAAGATAATGATGTATACGACTATACGAAAACTAAGATTAAGAACCATAAATTAATAAGACTATCATTATTGGTGGTCTCTTATCTACTTTTTAGCTTAAGAATGGGTAAGATAGGTCTTTTACTAAAGCTTACTAAAGTGTCAATAATAAGTTCATTTCTCAAATACTTCAACGTAAACCAACTCCGGTTTAAGATAAGAACCATCAAGGGCAGTTTCGAAATAAATTAACAAAACCATGTCCACGTAATGAAGTGAGTCACAACGTCAAGATTCTCTCTACTTGCTTCCTTCTATAAATTGCCTCTGCTCCATAAAGAGTATCGTCACTCCAATCTCTTAACCTGTGGCTCTATCTGTAAATATATCCCATAATATTTTAGCCTTTTCAAGAAACCAATTAGCCTTTTTAAAAGATTTACTTAGTAGGAAAAATAAATTACAAAGAGAAGAGAGAAGTGATCAGGTGCAGTGAGGTGTAGGATATGAAATTCTTGTTAGAGCTCGTCGTGCCTTGTTTTGGTTCACAACAGTTCAACCAATCCACCGTCACAGCCGCGGACGATTCGGTTTCAGACGAAACGCAAACGCTCGTGAAACAGCGAAGGCGGCGGAAACGCGTTAGAGTGGCTGGTCAACCTGGACAACAGGTGGTAGAGTGGAGACCGTCGCTTAGCGTGATCTCCGAGAACAAACCGGCTATAACGGAGAAATCTGAAAAGGAAGTAGAAAAGAAGAAAGTTCGTCGGAAAAGCGAAGGCAACGACGGCGGAGACGCGTCTTCACGATCCGGCGGTGGTCATGTTCGTTTCCGTAGTGATGATTTCGGGTAAAAAAAAACACACAAGACAACTCTATCAAGTTTTATTACATGATGATACTTTTGTGTTACGTAAGGTTAAATAGATTCATGATAATGTTTTAAAGTTTTGTTTGATAGAACTTAAGAATATTTATAAAGATAAGTATGAAGATTAGGAAGAGATAATTAATTAATTAGAGATGCTATTTTATGGATAAAGATTCGATATAGTTGGGAACTTGGGATGTCAACATCAGTATGTTTATTTGAGTAAATAGAAATTGTCGTAAGTTGCAAGGTAACCAAAAATGATATTATAACAATTTATGTCAATATATAAAATGGTAGTGTTTTATGATAAAAATGTTTTGACGTTTTAAGTTTTTGTTTTATGGGTTTTTGCAGGAGGAATGCTTTCGAACCGGTGATTCCGGCGTTCTCACCGACTCCGTTCATGTTTTGAGTTATGTTTTTTAAGTTACTTGTGAAGTTTATTAATTATGTGTATGATATATATGTAGTAGTAGTAGTAATAAATATGTTAATGATAAGATGTAGCATCTAATGTAATGTATATATTTCTTTGATATTATAGTGACTACCACCAAAATCTAAACTTATGGTGCAAAACGTAACTCAAAACAAACAGAGTTTGGTTGGGCTATGCAAACACGTATGAGTATACCAGTATGACTAAGTCATGTCAAGACTACTGCACCAACCGAACATGTACCCAAACAGAAACCGAACGCCCACTTTGTTTTTATTTTTAAACCCGAAACATATGAGCTATATAACTTATCTTATATTTTTGTTATTTTAATTAGTTCTAGATTATGCAAGTAAACTTTTTCAAAAGTAAACAAAATAAGCTGGAGCACCAATTTTTAAATACCATAGCATAAGTAAGTATTATTCATAAGGTGAGATCAATTTATATTGGCATTGTGAAGAAACAAAATATTTGTAACTCTCTCATGCCACATTAACCAAAGAGATCTCACCCTAGTACATTTCTTCGTCTAAAATAGAAGATCTCAGTCACTTTTTTTTTTCTTTCGAAAATGTATAAAATACTTATATACGTATAAAGATTTCAATGACATTTTCAATGTTTGGTAATTACAATGATCTTGTATCTAAATAATTTGTTTGATTAAGTACGTTGTGGTAAACTGTTAAAATGTAACTTTTCTCAATTAGGAATGGAATTTTTATTTAATTTACAAACATATATGTCAGATTTTTTAAAACATATTGACAGGTACACAAACATATTGATCTAGAATGGGTTGGTTGACTTTTAAGTCTTTTATTGTATGTATTATTTTCCATCAAAACATTTGTTGGGCTTTGAAGATTCGAAGATAGTATTGTGAGTTTGTTTGGTGGCCATGCCATATTACGGGAGAGACCAGCCGCCAAAGCCCAACTTTTTAGTGAGTGCATCATCATCATTGGATGTCAATCCAGAAAACCAAATAGTCAGACTATACATTATAAAATTTGCATGATCAAAGATGAAGATTTGTACCTTAAAGGCTTAAACCCTACTACACACTAATTCTACCAAAAGTATATATTACACTATTAGTACTAAAGAAGGCGCTAACGCGTTTCTTTGCATCTTTAATCACATTCTCCCACATGTAGGCTTTACCTTTTCTTTCCATAATCTCCAAATGTGTGCGTGTGTGTGTTTAAATACAATACAACATATACGTATGTACACCACGACTATTATGTATTCTATACATGGAGACATGAGAACATGGGAGGTTGTATCCGTGCACGTGGAGAGGACATGTCTTGCTTGCTTAATGATTAATGAGTATGCGACCATGGAACAAGTAAACTTTGAACTTGTGGGAATATTTGCTCTCAAGTTATCATATTCGTCTTTTTCTTCTTTCCTCCCAAGTCCCATTATGATTTTTTTTTTTCTCACAATAGATATAATTTAAATCTCTTTTTTTTCCCCAATTTCTATCGATCCTTGTATATTGCCAATGTACCAAGTAAATCCTTTTAGAACAAATAAGAACATTAAACTTTCATATATAAGCTAATACTTTTCTCGATCATGATTCATGATATAATATTCACATAAATTTTAGCTGGAAAAATGTTCAATTCAATCTCGTCTCTAGAAAAAAGAAAGAGGATCGAGTTTAGGATCTAGAGATGATGATTAGAAATACAAAGAAGAGAAAATAATAGTAGTATATATAAATGTTGCGCCACCACTCTCTCCTTCGAGAACGTGAAAATAAGCATATAATCTACGCAAAGAAGCACTAAAATCTCGATAAAATAACATATAACAATGTGTGTATACATGCATACATAAAGATCTCCCTCTCACGCATATTGTATACGATAGATAAAATGGTCAAATACATTATCATTACATGAAGGATCTTCACGTGCTCTTTTGGTTGTCTAATTGGCTTGGCTTAAGTCATTCTGAATAATTAAAGAAGTGAATTGTAATGCTTTTTTTTTTCTATATTTCTTTTAGGGAATTTTAAAGAAAAATTAAGATGCATGTAATAATCATATGCATTCATTGGATTATATAGATTTTGACTTCAACAACATTAACCAAACGATTTATTGTTTCAAAACCAATATTTGTGTGGATAAGTCATTTGTTTTCAGCAATAAGTCAATTGTGAGATGATATTTTATACATTTTAAAAAAACTCTGAATACATGTCTAACTTTTATACTCCATCATATGACAGATTTTAACCCAACAACACTAAATAAGCGATTTTTGTTACTTCCAAACAACGTTGGTGTGTAGGTCAATTTTCGGACGATTTTTTTGAAATATTTTAAAACAATTTAGAAAATATAAATGTGTCTAGTTTTTATATTCAATCACATGTATAAGATTATGACACATATGAAACTAATACTTATCCAACAATTTATTATTTCAAAATAATGTTTGTGTGCACTATGCAACACAGAATTCGAGACTTCCATATTGCTTGACGTCGAGAACGTAAAATTTTTTATTGTTTTAAAACCGTCGATGGTTATGGTAAAAAAAAGTTCCAATCTTGAAAACCTGTAAATTCAATATTTCTTAAAAAAAGTTTAAAAATACTTATAATTTCATTCGAAATGAAAGAAATAAATCGTTGTTGTTAGATTCAACACTATTAGTTAAAGCTATTTTTATCCAAGAAATTACATTTAGTAAAAAAATTATATTTATTTTATACGTTAGTGTTTATACTTTATAGTCAAAACTTAGTAGATAAATATATTTTTGATCTTGCCATTCTTTTTAATATTAAAAAACAAATTCATTGAAATGTAAGTAGAACTGTAGAAAGCTCATTTATTTTACATATATTTGACAACCTCGTTCATTTCGTGTGTTTATGGTGAATATTTTTGTCCAAGCACATAAAAAAGCCACATTATCAGATATATGTAAAATATATGACATTTCTATATTAGAATGACTTGCGGCAGTAATCCCGAGATCTTACAAGAAATTTAGTGCAAATACTAATGTAATATAAATATACATTCAAATTTTCAAGTTAGTGAAATCGTTTAAATCAAAAGAATGTCTTTATATATCATATGATTCATGTCATAAAGAAGTAAAACAAATTTAAACGTATTATACTTCAATTTGATTTCACGGAATTGTTAGATTCATGTCATATTGAATATTTAATTTCATTATCTTGTTCAGACTATAATAGCAGTTATATCTGCTTCGAAAATATTATTTTTAGAATATTTATTGAGATGAAAATTAGCTGCAACAAATAATCTTGAATGTGACATTGTAGGTTGAGTTAGGTGGATATATTTAACTGCTTTACTACTTACTAGTTATAGAATTATTATAGTTTTCTCATTTTATCTTCTCACCTATACAATATACATTAAGCTTAACCTTCGAACTCTCAAAAGGATAAAGATAAAATAGATAATCATAACTTCATACATATATGAATATATATATCTCACACTTACCCAATTTGTAACTAAACATTGAAACGAGTTATCTTAAAAGGATATAATTATGGTGATGATGACACGCTTAAGTACGACGACGAACGAGCGAATGACATAAATATTCTAGAGAGGGTACACCAAAAGATACAAGGACCGCGATGCAGGTAATTAAAATTGAAAAGTCATCGACGACTAAGGATAGATTCATCCAATCATATAATTAAGTGTAACCAATATATTCGTTGGACCCATAAAACATATACACGACACACAAAAAACACAATATTTACATTTTCTAATTTCTATATATTTAGATTTTTTTTTAAAATTAATTTAGTATATATGCACCTTTCACAAAACAACATCACAATAAATAAATTTTATATTGCTTGGAGAATATCGAAAAATAAAAACTCAAAAATCTAGTGAGAATTCAATTAAAAGGAAGGAGTAACGTCATTTTAATTGGAAAAAAAAATATAATTAAAGGAGAAAAAAGAAGCTTTCCGTTTTTATTCTTTTGAAGCAGACGTTGTTACATTTGTCACACACACAAAAAAGAAAAAAAAATTTACACATCATCACAACATTAAAAAAAAAAGATAAGAAAAGAAAAGCTCAATTTTGTTGTTGTTGGTGTTGTAATCGTTTGCTTGAAGTAGAACCTCTCTCTCTCTCTCTCTTTCTCTCTCACTCACTCTCTCTCTCTCTTTGGATTCTTTTCTCTGTAATCAAAGCAAAGTCCTCTCTTCTTCTGGGCTCTGGTCAATTTGTTTTCTCTTTTCTCTTATGGAACTTCTGTGAAAAATGCACATTCCTACGACGATCCTACACTTTTCTACAGGTACAAAAAAGTTCGATTCTCCTTTTTTTTATTCTGGATCTTCGACGAGTTTTTATGGTGTTGTGTGATTTTTTTTTTGTTTCTGGGGATTTTTGGTTGTTGTTGTTGTTGTTGATAAGAAAGTCTTCTTTGGGGGGCTTGTTTGGATGCTGAAGAAGAAGAAGACTAGAAAAATGTTGGAAAATTAAACGACGCAATTTAGGGGAAAAAAGGAGATTTTAATTTAATGTTTTTTTATCCAAACGGCGTTTTCGAAAGTTTTGCACGTTTCTCTAGATTCATTCTCTTTTTCATCTCCTTCTTCTTTTTCTCCATGATCTATAGTACTATATCGTATTATTTTGCTGGATTCTACTAATTATCCCGAGAAAATTTGGCTACGAAAACTTCAGTATAAAACGTTGAAATTTTGTAGTTCGTATTTAACTTCTGAGCTTCACGAAATCTCAGTAAACCTTATCTCGTTGAGGTATTTGTTTTTTTTTTTATTATCTGATTGAGAAGATACGTTTTTTGATTTTGGTTGAATGAATCTCTCTATCTATAAGTATTTTGTTCAAGAGTTTTTTTTTGATAGTCAACGTTTTGCTTATTTTTACTTATTTTGAGCCAATGAGTTGTTGTCCTCCTCTTCGTCATCTGACATTGTGCTACTACTATTAAACTATTCTTCCTTCCTCTCTCTCTCTGATCCATTTTTTATTTATTTTGGTCTTTTTGTTTTCTTTTTGCAGAGACGTCTACAAGAGCTTGAGGGGGTGATTGAATTGATACATTTTTATTAATTATTATTTGAGGATGGAAGGAGAATCTTTTGGTTTAATCGTTGGGATCTCACTAGGTTTGGTGATTGGTGTTGTGTTAGCTATTTCAGCTTTGTTCTGCTTTAGGTTCCATAGAAAAAAGTCTCAGATTGTGAATAATAGTGGGTCTAGCAGAAGTGCAACCATTCCCATCAGAGAGAATGGAGCTGATTCTTGTGTTATCATGTCTGATTCCACCATTGGTCCTGATTCACCTGTTAAGTCTTCCAAGAATGGGAGGTCTCTTTGGCTTGAAGGTTTTAGTAAGAAGAGTAATGTTATCTCTGCTTCTGGCATTTTGGAATATTCTTACAGGTTTGTCTGTCTCCTCCTCTGACAAGATCCAGGTTTTATTTTTATATAAAATTCTCTGGATCATGGTTTCCTGATAAGGTTTTTCGGTTTATTGTCTCTTAATTAATGAGGACTAGACTTCTCTTTGTTATAGTTTCTTTGTTCATTATTTCCAAGTCTGGATAGTTCGTTAGGAAGGGGAATGCTATTATCTATAGTTTGGATCTGGTTTTGTGAATATCCAGAATTTCATGCTATCTCCTGTGGATATGATGATGTCTTGCATTTTTGGGCTAGAGGACAGAATGTCTTGCATTTTTAACATATGTTCTTTGGTTGACTGATTCAGGGATTTGCAGAAAGCCACTGCTAACTTTACAACTTTGATAGGCCAAGGGGCATTTGGACCTGTCTACAAAGCTCAAATGTCCACCGGTGAGATTGTTGCTGTGAAAGTACTAGCCACTGATTCTAAACAGGGCGAAAAAGAGTTTCAGACAGAGGTAAGATATATCTATGCGATGTAGCTCTGATGATTCTGTATGCTATTCGTTTCCAAAGAACATAACTTGGGTTTAGAAATATAATATTAGGCAGACACATGATTTCTGAAATCTCTATTGCTCAATCCATAAGTTGTCATCCATAAAAACAAGGCTCTTGTCTGACATTTATCTATATCTCTTATTGTCTGCTCTAGTTACTCAGCTAAACTCATCAACTCGCTATTTTTTTCAGGTTATGTTATTGGGAAGGTTGCATCACCGTAATTTAGTGAACTTAGTTGGCTATTGCGCAGAAAAAGGCCAGCACATGCTTATATATGTTTACATGAGTAAAGGAAGCTTAGCTTCTCACTTATACAGTAAGCACCTACCTTTTTCTACATACTATAACAATCTGCTAGGTATTAAATGAATTGATGAGCCTTCTTCATAAAGATTGTAGCGTATTTATTGAAATGTGGTTTAGACTCCCCCAATTGATGAGCCTTCTTCATAAAGATCTGAGACACACTAAGATGTTTTTTTTATACAGGCGATAAACATGAACCCCTGAGCTGGGATTTGAGAGTATATATTGCTTTAGACGTGGCACGTGGTCTGGAATATCTTCACGATGGGGTAGGCTAAATTCTGAAACAATCCACCATCTTAATGCATCTCTTAAGAAACACAACTTCGATATCAGTGCTTCATTCATTTTTCTTCTTTTCAGGCTGTTCCTCCTGTAATCCACAGAGATATCAAGTCTTCCAACATTTTGTTGGATCAATCCATGAGAGCTCGGGTACATATATCTTTATTCGTCTTTGAGATCTCAGTCTATTGAGCACCTCAAGTTTCTCATTGGTGAATTGTCTCTTACTACAGGTTGCAGACTTTGGACTATCTAGAGAAGAAATGGTAGACAAACATGCTGCCAACATCCGAGGAACATTTGGTTATCTCGATCCTGAATACATTTCAACTAGAACGTTCACCAAAAAAAGCGATGTTTATGGCTTCGGGGTTTTGCTGTTCGAGCTTATAGCTGGAAGAAACCCTCAACAAGGTCTAATGGAATTGGTTGAGCTGGTAATATATAAAACTAAAAACCATCTCAAATCCTCCAATCTTCTTTATACATGAAGACTTGAAACCTTTTGTTTGTCGATGAACAGGCGGCGATGAATGCAGAGGAAAAAGTTGGGTGGGAAGAGATAGTGGATTCAAAATTAGATGGGAGATTTGATATACAAGAAGTGAATGAAGTTGCAGCATTTGCTTATAAATGCATCTCTCGTGCACCTAGAAAACGTCCCAACATGAGGGACATTGTTCAGGTTTTGACTCGTGTCATTAAGGTGAGACATTGCAGAAAACGACAGAAGAGTTCTCTGTCTTCTCCGCGGCCTCCTCCTCCTCCTCCGGTGGTGGAAGAGTCTGAAGGTGAGCTAACCGCAAACGGATCAATACGATCAGAAACTCATCGGAGGGATAATTCCGTGGACAGTAGTATAGCTGAAGACTTGTGATTTTTTCCAAAACAAAAAAGAAAGTATCAAGTTCCTTAATTTTTATTAACTTTAAAATTGTGATTTTTTTTGAATATTGTTTTGGGTTTCTTTTAGACGTTAGGGAAAAAATGATAATTATGTATGTAGTATGTACTACAGAGTACAGACCGTTCTAGGTTGTTTATATCTTTCTTTTGTGAATTAGTAATAACTATTCTTTGTTTCTTTTACTGTTGTAACTTGAAACGAGTTCAACGTAACTCGTTTCAACTAAAGAAGCTTAGGAAACGACTTAACCCAAGGCCCAATTCAAACCTAGCCCAGCCCATTAACTTTGGTTTTACAACGGTGTCGTTTAGTCGTTATCCAAGTTTTATCGTCATCGGAGGAACGGATAGGATGAAGAAGAAGAAGAAACAACAGTTGTTTAGCCACTTCGCCAGTGGAGTTGCAGAGCGATAAAAAATGGCAACCATGTCTGCTCTTCAGAGCTCTTTTACTTCTCTTTCTCTATCCCCGAGCTCTTCGTTCCTTGGCCAGCGTCTAATTTCCCCGATTTCACTCTCCGTCGCTTCTCCGGTAACTCATAATTTTTCGAATTCTGATTCTAATCTCTCGCCTTAGGTTTTTTTAAGCTTTTAGATTCTGTATTTTACTTGGGTGCGTTGTAGATTAGGTTCATTTGTTCGATTTTGATATACAAACCCATTTCAACAGATATTACTCAAACGAGTGAAACTTTTTTGATAAATTGAATCTGTGTTGCTCATTTGTATGCTTCTGCACTACAGAGTTTTGCTTATTGAGGTATTGAACTATGTTGCATTGTCTATGTTTTAGTGTTACGACTAAACTGAGATGAAGTTATTATGCTCTTCAGACTGATTGACTAGTGATTTGTTTGGAATCTATGTGTGCCTTTTACTAGTAGTAGCTCTATGAACGATACCTGCGTGGCATTGGCTCACATTTTAACAGAGGAAACTAGTTCTTTTGTACATTTGGTTGTGTAAGGTTTCGCTCCTGCGAGTTTTTATTGAGTCAGAAGAATGGCTTTTGCACTTTTGCTTGATACTTTCATGTTGAATGAAATGCCTGTAGTTGGATGGTTCTTTATTACTCTGCTTATCTTCTTGTAATTGTTGCAGGTCAAGCCCGCCGAGAACCCATGCCTTGTTCTTGCAAAGGTTAGTCCACATATCCATTACATCATACTTTGTACTTCTCGTTCTGTATTATTCGTTTATATATTGCTTTGAACCTCAAGACTCTATTTCTACCTATGAGAGAGATAAAAGGAAAACCCTTGATATACTTTTTCTTGAACCTATTGAGATTGGAAGTTTTGTTGTTGTGTTATTGATTTATGTGTTTTGCCTTTCAGCTCAAGCGTTGGGAACGGAAAGAATGCAAACCAAACAGTCTTCCGGTTCTGCACAAAATGCATGTCAAGTTTGGAGATACCGTCAAAGTTATATCTGGACGCGACAAGGGTAAAATCGGAGAGGTTACTAAGATCTTCACTCACAACAGCACTGTAGTGATCAAAGATGTAAACCTCAAAACAAAACACATGAAGAGTCGAGAGGAGGGAGAACCTGGTCAAATTGTTAAGGTCAGTCCATTCAAATGACTTGATGTTTGCTAATTTGCTGTCTTTGGCTAGATTCGGGTGATGATTGAAGATTGTACAAAATGTATTATGTTTTCCAGATAGAAGCACCTATCCACAGCTCAAACGTGATGTTATATTCGAAAGAAAAGGAGGTGGTAAGCCGGGTGGGTCACAAGGTCCTTGAAGATGGACAGAAAGTAAGATATCTGATCAAAACAGGGGAGGTTATCGACACCATTGAGAAGTGGAAGCAACTTAAGGAGGCAAAGGACAAAGAAACCACCCAAGTTGCAGTGGCTGCTTAGTATCTCACTTCTTTCTTCTTCATTGCACTTTTGATATATAGACTAATAGACCTATGCATTTGATGGATGTATTGAATCCCTTTAAAGGTAAAGTATAAAATTTCTACCCCATAACACCTTTTTGCTTCCTTAAGTAAGCTTAGGTTGAGCCTTAAGTTAAATTGAAAAGATACAATCTTTTAAGAGTAGTTTACATAACAATCAAACTTTTACAGGAGCAAAGAATCTAGAAATTCTTCAAATGGCTAAACCATGGTCTTGAAGCCTTGAGAAATCAACTCAGTTTTGGGTTTGGCTATCTTCTTCTTTGTAGTCCGCTTCCACGTCAAAAAGAATACAAGAAGATAAATGAGTAGTCCGAATATGACAATCAAATACATCAACAGGAATACCGGTTCATAATTGTCCTTCAGGTACACAGAAATGAAGATATACCACCAAGTGTATGCTCTACCAACTGGTAAGAGTATAAATGTCAAGGCCATAGCTGAAAGAAAGGCTATAGTATTGAATCCCCATAGTAGGCTAGTAGCACAGGCTTTATGAGGTTTCCCGAAGGTTTCTCATGTTTGTCTTCATCTTCGGGTTGGACTGCGGTCTGATAAGTAGCTGTGATTATCAGATATTCCCGAAGATGGAGTACGATTCCAAAAACGTGTTATTCCCGTAGAGCAAGGCCATGTTGCCTTTAAAACTGTAACTAGTAGAGAGTTTCGTACTCCATCTGACTATTCTTGTATGCCGCTAGAGTGCAAGGCCATGTTTTTTTTTTTTATATGAATGTTAAATTATATTCATCAAAAAAAACTGTTTTACAAAGAATGCAGCAATCATTCAAAGTTTAAAACATAGAGAGCCAAAAAAAAATAGATCAAATAAATGGTGGAAACATCTTAGGAGCTGTGGGTTTGAAATCAATATTGAAGGCCTCCCTCGTACACAGTGGAGATTGAGAGAGTGTATAAACGGTTGCGAACAGTTTTGTCGATGAAGCTTATCAATTTAGGAGAGGGGGTTGGTGCAAAGCCATGTTGCCTTCAAAACTGTTACAAGTGTTATACTTATGCTTTATTAGTAGTGTGGACTGTAAAACTATTTTACTTATTTATTCTCTAATCAAGGCCGTTACTTTTTTTTTTTGTCAACCATTCGTTTTTATAACGAAAACCCAAAATGGGCAAAGTATAAAAGCATGATACAAAACCTTATTTAAACCCAAATTAAAATGAACCCAAATACAATAACATTGACAGGTAACAGCAACGTGTATGAAGCAAAAGCAAGAGAGCCCAGTTCTTGTTTCTTTTTTCTTGTTTCTTTTCAATTCTTCTCACCAACTTAGATTAGAAATGTACTACCAATTTTTGCGTCGGCGACGAAGGTAGCAACAGATGAAATCTTGAAATCACGCTTCTGGGACCATCTAACCGCTGCAAGAATTGGATCAATCTTAGGAAATTTCAAACTCAATCCAAACTCTAAGAAGAAACTCCGCCTAAGACCTAGAGATGAGGTCTCTTTTAATCCTTAACAATGAAGATATAACGTCGAATATATTACTCTATCTTTAAAGGAGAATCAAGTTGATGGCTAATCCAATAAAAGCAAACGGGATTCGATATAAATCTTTGTAGAAAGAGGGAAGGACAAAAAATATAGATTTTCTATCTTAGTCAATAAACTAAACAAGATAAACATTATTTAAAACTGACTAAGAAGAACAAAAGATCCGAACTAAGTCGGAAATCTATATAAAAATAAAAATAAACTGAATTTTTCCGGTTAACCAGAAATTGTTTTCTCTCTCTAAAAGATGAAATGTGTGTTAAAAGAGAGAAAATTCTTAACATTTAGGTCGGACATCTTGATTGCATAGGTTCTTGCACAAATTTTAAGGTAAGATTTGTGAGAAAAAAAAATCTTTATATTAAAATTTGTGAAAAAAAAGTTTTATATAAGAATGACCTTAAAGCACCATTATCAATGGTATTTTAACAATCTTAGAGCTAATATAAGAATAAAATGCTTTCTCTGGACTTCTCATGTATTTTAATTCAAAAACTTTTATATGAAAAAATACAAATATAAGAATAATTGACCTCGAGATCATCGTGGACTACTTTCGTTGCCTCGTTGGTCCAAAGAATCAATGGCAACATAATTTAAAGGGTTGTGAAATTTCATAGAATTAGAAAAGCCCGTTTGCACACTTCATGCTTCTCTATATAATGATCGTTATCGGGAAATGTTTGTTTTTTTTTTTTTTTTTTAAATCGGGAAATATTATTAAAATGATCCGGCTTATTGAACCACGAACAAAAGTCTATATATAAATGACACCATGAGAACCTTAAACAATTTTTAAGGTTTGCGTGATATGATGTTTTCTTCTTACGAGGTTTGGACGGATTGTCATGCTGCTTGGGAAGTGATATCTAATCCTCTCGCTTGGCCTAAGTACTGCTCTCATACAACAAAGATTTGACAGGTAATACGGGTGATACGAGAGGTTTTTTTCACTTTTCTTCGCTGAAAGCTAATTTATTAGCTAAGTAGATTGTCTGTAGCATCTCGAGAGATGGACGTTTAACGTCTTACTTGGCTTTAGGAGGACCGGCTTAACTTCATGATCGTATTGAAAGGGATAAAAAATTGGGTGACTGAGTTCTTCTAGTGTTTCTTTTGGTTCCTTGGTTTCTGATCTTTTTCTTTGTATTTGAACTATTTGGTTTATCAATCATTCAAAGCTTTACAAAAAAAATGACACCATGAGAACCTTAAACAATCTTTAAGAAAGTTTCCAAAATTTTTTTTTAAAAAAAGTTTCCAAAATGAGCAGTGCACGTTACAAAGTTTAAACACTTCAAAGGGTGACTAGATACGGAAGTTCTCATAAACCAGTTCAGTTTTGGCTTTTACGACATTCTGAGGCTTTTTTAGCCTCCAAACCGTACAGAGAACCAGTAGATACACTAAGCATGCAAACCCATATAAGACCGCTAGATAAATCATCACAGTGATTTTTTCCTTCATGTGCATGAAAAGGAAATAAGAAAGGGCGAGAGGCCCCGTAATAACGCCATACCAGCCCTCAAATAATTTACCCTCTGGTAAGAGTATCAATGTGAATAAGATAGCTGTGTAAAAGGCTACCGTATTGCATCCCCATATTATCGGCTCAAAGATATACTCCTCATTATTGTCTGGTTGGGCTGTCTTTTTGGGTTTTTCTTGCGGTTGGGCTGCAGTCTGATAAGTAGCTGCGATTATCAAAGCTACTATTACTAGAAGAGCGTTCCGTGTTCCGTCTGACATGTGACTCCTGTAATGTGCAAGTCGAGACTTGCAAAATTCCTTGAAAGTGACCGGATTTCTAAGGAAGACATACCATTCTGTACGTTGAGATTGAGAGCCTCCAGTCTTACCACCGGACCATACTATGATCTCCTCTGTATCTTTATTCATGTGAGATCCATTTGCTCGTAAGGCATCAAGGGCCGTCATGCGAGTTTTGTTCTGGATGTTCCGGTTCAAATGCAAGCATTTTAACAGCTGCTTTACTGCCTGTATATATAATATATATTCACAATTAAAGGTCTAACAGTGTGTTTCTAGGTCTATTTCTGAAAGTACGTGGTCTATTGGATCACATCCCAAATATATACTAAGCATAATAATCAATGTATTAGGCTTACAGAGATTACAGATTAACCATTTAAACACCTTTCACAATGATTACGGACGGTGAAAAAAAGTTCAAACAAGTTGAATGAGTGGCTTTAAGAGACAAAATAAATAAATAATGGAAAGTACATACCTCGTGATTGTTCTTGTATGCGGCTAGGTGCAAAGCCGTGTTGCCTTCACGATTACATCTGTTTAGGACGTCGCGGAACCACACACCATCCTTATCGCGAATTTTCTGCATCCACCCTGTGAGAACTTTGAGCCCTTCGTAGCTATCGTTCATAACCGTGATATGTAAAGCCGTTTCTCCCTTTAAGTTCGCATCTTTAATGCTTTCAGGACATGCTAGAAGAAACTCTGTAAGAAGTCCGAAGTCACCTTTCTCTGTCACAAGATGCAATGGTGTCATACCTGTCGTCGTTTTAAGATTTGAAAAAAATATATATATATATTAGCAAATAATTTATATTATGTGTTAAAAAGAAGAATTTGTTAAAGACTTTGAAACGTAGATTATAATCAAAATTTAAAAAAATATATTAAAATAAAAATAAAAAAAATGAAGAAGCTACCTCCTCTACCGCAAATGCGAACAAGACTGGGATCAACCTTGACTAGCTCTAGTGCTAACTCCTCATACTGGTTCTCGACAGCGAGATGCAACGGACTTAACCCATCCTCGTTTAGTTTCTTGGCCAAAGATGGCTTTAGCATCATTAGTTCCATAGCCAAATCCATCTTCCCAGCAGATGACGCTTCATGGAGAGGTGTGTGGATGAAAGGTAAAATGTCGACGTTGTGAAGAACGTTGGGATCCGCTCCAATAAGAGAGTATAAATCATCAACATTACCTGATTGAGTAACCAAAAGCAATCTTGATTCCATACTTAGAATAAAGAAAGAAATATAATTGTAAAGGACCAAGAAAGTAGTGTCGTTAAGTTTACAAATGGGGAACACAGTTATATAGTATTTTTCATTTCAGAGTTGTGAGTCTATTGACTTAATTAGCACCAATTGTATTGGTCACTCCAGATGTTGCCAGAAATAAAGCGGGAAAGTAGAACTCAACAGTAGGATACATAAATGTTGCCTTGGACTGTTATAAATAGTGTAAGCTTTAGTGAGGACCAGTATATGCCACTTGTAGTTTTTTTTTCCCTTTTTTTCCTAAGAAGTTCATATATTTATTTATTTTTTAATTCGTAATGAAACCGATTTTTTTTTTTTAACACAACATTCATTAAAGATTAAATGAATAAAGCAATTTAAAATTGGCAGTTTAGATTGAAATTGACCCCTAAAACTGCAAATGGATGACTTAAATTTAGAAATTGAAAATGGTTCAAAAATAAATAAAATAAAAAGAATTTAGAAATTAAAATAATTGAACGACCATTCATCTAATTTGTTACCATTTGAGATGAACAAGTAGGAAAAATGATTCAACCTATTCAACAAAAATTTTGGGAAAATGATCAAATTATATAATCTTAATCAGTACAGGCTCTAACATTAGATAAACAATTTAGAATTTTAAAATTCAAAAGTTTCCATTTTTTTAGAGTAAGCAATAATTAAGATTATATAAAAAATAAAACAATGGGAGAATTTCAAAAATGTCATTTTTCTAAAAAAATTCAAAGATCAAATTATGAGAGAAACTACGATATGTCAAATAATTCAAGGCGTTATATGATATTATATTTTCTTTAATTCTCCAATCTTTCAGTAAAAAAAATATATTACAGATCTCTCGATGGTAATAAGTAAATTGTAGATAATAATAAGATTCGAACACAGTTCACATATCATATATATAAACCAATAATTCTAATCACCAACTTGTATCAAAAATAAAATACATGTAATTTTAGCAAGTCTTATTTTCCACGAATGGCAAACGTATCTGTGGTAACTTTCCCAGCACATGACAATCCAGCTGGTAATTGTCGACTTCTCATAAATATGACGACATAGATTGTCGAGTGTTTCTGACAAATTGAAAGAAATTTGTTGTCGACTGAAAAACTCAAAATCAAAGTTAAATGCATTGCACTGGAGATGTCATGTGGTGTGTGATCCCACCGTTACTTAGCATGAAGTAGATACCCTGTCTATATCACGCCTCGTTGGCTGGGAGAGTGGTTTAGCACCACCCGGTTAATTTGAGGTACACCAGCAAAACCCGAAATTGGTTGAAAGACTTGGTCTTTCAGTATTGGATCAAGACCCGCATTGGTGGGTAAACAAGGTCTATTCGATTAGATCCAATAAGAAAGTTAGTAACTTGGGATGGTCGGAAAAGGAAAAATAAGATAAATATGAGAGACGCTCGGAGTACAAAGGAGAAGAAGAACCACACGAAACTCTTAACGCTTTTTGACTACTAGAAAACCCTATAGTCGGAAGAACCCTAGCTTGATCCATTGGAAGAATTTAGCTCTTTGTTGTATTAGATTTGTTTGTTCTACTTGAGAGTTCAATAAAGATATTTTCTTACGCCAGTTGCATGTTGTGTAATTTTCCGGTTTATGGTCTGTGCGGATTCATCTCGCACATCATTCATTGTAGTATATAAAATATTAATGTAATATATAAAATATGATATATATATATATATATATATGTGTATTATATTATCATATACTCCATATGTTTCAAAATAAATATCATTTTAAATTTTAATTTTTATCCTAAAGAAGTGTTGTTTATATTTTAATGTAGATGTTTGGTATATTTTTCAGTTTTATCCCTAATAATTTAATGTTTTAGTTAATAGGAAAATAATATAATGTACACACCATGTAATACTTTGGGCCTAATACAAAAAGAGAAATTAAAGTTTGTTTTTTCCTAATTATGAGACTATCATAATTTTTATTAAGTTTGAGAGAATTTTTTGTTAATTATAATATATTTTCGCTAGGTATATACAGTTTCTAATTATGTGGCCTTTTATTTATATATTAGAGTTTTTTGGCTAATTTTGACACATTTTTATTAGTTATGGAGTTTTTTTAATTAATTATGGGGATTAACACTAATTTTAATTTATTTAAATAAAATAGGCTTTAAGCTTGGAAAATTCAAGGCCTGATACGAATGTAACACACGAATTATGGATGCAGGGCCGGGATTAAGCACATTGTAAGATTCATGTGAAAGTTATGGAAGTATTATATTAGTTTGCAGATAGTAATAATATTTTGGCTCGTAATAAGACATCAAGGGCAGTCATACAACTCTTGTTCCTGATGTTCCGGTTCAGTGACATGCATTTCAACAACTGTTATACAGCCTGAGCCTGTGTACACACGACAACCATTGGCAAAAAAAACAACTCAACCACAACTGATGCGAAGAACTTAGGATTTGTAAAGGGGCTTCAAAGATGTTAATGTACTAAATCATTTTTTTCGTATCCCCAAGTAATATAAAACATAAGACTATCCGTTTATATTATGTTAACAGTCTTTAGTTTTATAGGTCAATTACTAATTGTAGTATGTGAATATAGTAGGTTACATATGAAAAAGATTGGAAAAATAACTAAGTTATTAGAGTAATTAACAGTGATCACACAAACACCATAACAACAATTACGGATCAACCACTTAAACAAGTAGCTAAGATAAAATTTCATATTTGGTCTGACCCAAATTTGGTCAATCGATCCTTATCCGAAAATACCGATATCATATGGTTAGAGCCATAATCTCATAATACTGAGTACTCCTAATTTTTCAGGAGTAAAACTAGAAAGTCTTGCAAATGCCTAGCAATAGTTGAGCAAATAGCATCCTCATATGGAAGTAAGAGGCTTCGATAGAGCTGCCGGGTTCCATTAGTTTGTTGACAGGCGGGCAGAGGTTTTTTCTTAAGAAGCATAGAAGAGTTTGCCAAGTGAGGAGGTCCAATTGGCTCTTGCAGTTGGTAAGGGTCATGCAAAACTCCAATTTTTCCCCCATCTCCAATGTATCAGCATAAACCTTCACGTAAGAAGTCTCGATCTATAAGGATCCCACACTATACGTGATAAGCTGAAGTGAGTGGCAATACTTGCCCAAACAAAACTTGGCGAGGACAGAGTTGGAGACTCGGAGTAGTGAGTCTGTTGACTTATTTAGCACCAATAAATTGGTTCCTTGATATGGTTACTCGAGATGTTGTAACCAAAAAAAAAAGCTGGAAAGAAGAACTCAAAAGGCAGCTTCTCACCTATTGCAGAATAAGGAAATCAACGCTAGGATACAATTACATACAATGTTGTCTTGGACTGTTACAATTATTATTATTGTCTTTTTTAATTGAATCTTCAAGCTTATTAGTCAACAATTTTTTTTAATTTAATTGAAGTTGCTAATTTTCTAATCTTTAAGCCAAGAAGTGATGTTACATGATATTATTTGACTCTGACAAACAACTCCGAGGCATATCATTGTTTGAGTTTGAGCGTTTGATCAAACCTGTAACAAAGAAAGCTTCATGAGAAGATGAAGAAAAGAGAAGAAGCAAGAATCAAAGAAGAAGATGAAGTTGTCGTGAAGAAGGTCAACAACAAAGAACATAACAAGTCAACAAGGAAGAAGAAGATGGGTTTGTTGTTTTGATGATAAGGGTTAATGGGTCTAAAGAATTATAAGGCCCAACTAGCTAAATTATGTTTATGTGTAGTAGCTTAATGGGTCAAGCGTCGAGAAAAATAACTAGAGTACCAAGAGTAATAGGGTACTTGTAGCTAGTAGTTGTTGAGGGGTCCTAAAGTCATGAATGTCCTAACGTGTGTCAGTGTTGTAGTGAATGTCCAAAGGGAGATGTTTATTCTGGAGTGCTAAAAAAAAATTTAGGAGAAAAAGAAAAAAGAAAAAAAGAATATTATGATAAAGAGAGAGAAAAACCGAGAACTTTTTTTTCTTCTCTCTTCACTACAGATCCTACCCAATAAAATTGATACATGTGACTTAGGCACCGATCTTTAAATTCCTACTATTAGGATCGCTACTAAAAAATAAGACTGTTTTTGATTTATTTTTAATGATATTAATCTTATGAACCCTTAATTTTTGTTTTAAGGAGCTCCCTTTGGAGATGGTGTAAAGAGTTTATGTGTGTGTTGTGTAAGATCTATCTAAGTTAATCAAATATAGTTTCATGAGTAAAACGTTTCTTGTTCTTAATTTTCACTCTAGAACAGTGAAACTGAAACAGAGATAAAAAGAGGAGTGAAACAGAGTTATGAGAGAACAAGTCCCAAAATGTCTACAATCATGCGATCTTATAGTAAACTAGTACTCGTTCGTTTCTTTTGAATAATGTTGCTAATTTTGACTCTTTTAAATTATCAGTGTTTCTTCATAAATATACCTAATTAGGAACGCATGGTATTATTGTTAGTTGTAGGTCACATGATTCCCGCAACGAAAAATGTCAAAAGAACTATTCTGTATGTCACATATATACTTCGAGCGTACGTAGTCGTAGTAGACGACGAGTAGTCGAGTTATATAAGTGGATTACGTTTCGATCGTTATATAAATTAAAAGATCCGAATATATATATATGACGACGACATAGATAGTTTGTCGAGTGTTTGTGACCAATTGAAAGAGAGATTGTTGTCGACTGAAAACTCAAAATCAAAATTAATTGTCTTCGAGAGATGTCATGTGGTGTGATCCCACCGTTACTTAGGTTGAAGTAGATATACTGTCCATATCAGGCCTCGTTGTCATTCATTCCAATATATAAATATATATATATATATATATATATATATATATGACTTGCATAATCTTTATATATTATCATAGATCTCATAAAAATATCCGATATCCAAATTTTAATCCATGGTTTTCTTCTGTGCAGATCGATTATCACATTTTGAAGATTCATATTTCATGACATTGTCAAACTTTATGGTATATTATACATTTATACTAGTTTGCAAATAATTATAACTTATATGTATGTCATATTTAAAAACTTATATATATATACACATATGTATATTAGTATATATGTAACAAATATTTGACAGAGCCTTAGATATTACAATCGACTAAATATTTTTCAAAATTCGAAAGTTCAAGATTTGAAACTTCGGGTTATATTATTGGGGCTTCAGAGATTCAGAATTTTTTTTTTTGTGTTTGTTTCATTTCCTCTCAGGGGATAATTATGAGTGGGTGGCTTTTGCAGATAGATATTTATTTAAAGCTCCAACTAAAATTTTTGCATGGGATAGAATTTTGTCGTCGCATTTGACGTAAGCTTTGTCTCGTTGGCCATAATGAAACCTATGGACCATTTCACTTTATTCGTTTTTAACAAAATGCCTAATCACCTTTAATGTTATTTTTGTTCTTATTTGCCATGCCATTTCTATCAAACCATGTTTGTACGTAATCTAGGACTAAAAGGGGAAGGTTCCCAAAAAAAAAAAAAAGATGAAGCAAAGAAAAACAACAAAAATTTTTTGGTTGTGGATGATGAAAATATATCGTCTGACTATAAAGTTTAATTTTGAACGATTAGATATTGTAGTTAGTTTATATATAGATTCATATGTTTCCTAAATAATGAATCAGAAAGAACAATGTTTAAGGGCAATGGAGAAAGCTTGTTAATTGATTAAGTAACATTTTCAATGGTGTATTTAATAAAAAAGAAATCATGTTACTTAATCTTTTTTTTTTGTGTGCACCAAAAGATATTTCTTCTCATTAAAAGTGTTGGACATACATATTAAAGCCAAATTTACAAGTTTAGCAGCCTCGATATTGACTGTTCTTGGGATAAAGCTGCAAGAGAAGCTATAAAAAGCCTACATTACTAATGAAATCATCAGAGATATTACTGTGTACTTCAGGTAAAAAGGAACCAATAAAGACATATTACTTAAAGAACAATAGACATTGGAGAATCGACTTAGAGGCTGAAGGTTTAACTCTCTCAGAAGTGAGAAGCCATATGCATAGAGATGGGAATCAAATCTTAGAAATATCGGAAAAAAAAGAAAAACTTGAACGGCCAAAACATTCATACTCCAAATTTTGAAAAGGTTTTCTAGTCGTCAGGAAAAATAATAATCTTCTGTTATTTCATTTTCAAATTAACTCTTTTTATTACTGAATAAAATTTGGCATTTAGTAGCACTTTTACCAACAGGCCACCCGTGAAACTAAATGCTCACTCTGACGCATTGTATCTTATTCTATTACCATTGATTTTCACATCAATTTACTACCGCTAAAATACAAATTTATTCTCAAACATAATATGACCAAAAATATATATATTTTGTCTCTCTAGGTAAGAAAGTTAAAAACTGAAACTTAAAATATCCCAAATTCATCTTGCAAAGTGCAAACTAAAAAATAGAAATGGAGATTCTTATTGTTCTTGATCAACCTTATAAAATGACAAAATGGTAAACCAAAATTTTTGTACTAACAATATAAATCTAGATTCCGAATTCTATTGATTTCAATTCTCATCATAACGATAAAACAAATTTTTATCAACAAAAATAACAATTCACTCATGACAAAAATCAAACTCTTTCCTAATAATTCTTAGGATTTGCAAATGACGACAAAGCAAGGAAGCAAAGCTTTAGGATTAAGCAAAAAAAGCTCCTCCACATTTGTATACAAACCAACTTTGCCAGCCAATGAATCAAACCCACTCATCATCAACCCATTCATCTCCTCCACATTCTCCACCGGCCGATGAACTCTCCCGGCTATAACCCTACACACAATCAACACTTTCCTCACCGTCCGATCACCATCTCCACTCCCATCTCCCAAAATCGACTCAAACGCTCTCCCACTAGTCGACGCCGTGAAGACACCAATCCCACTGTTCTTCTCCCGTTTCGACGAGAACCCGTTTCTTATAATCCGGCAAACACAACATTTCTCCGCCGTGCAGAGACTCGTTGACCCGTTTATACCTAAACCACAAGCCACTGTTGTTCCGTGGAACCTAAGCAGCTCGTTCCCGTCGGCTAGACATCTCGGATGCTTCTTCTGGAGTTTGCTCGCTCTGATTTTAACTGTCTCTCTGTATTCTTCGAATCTAGCTAATGTTTTTTGCATGTTGTGTACTTTTAAAACTCTATCGATTCTTCCACATTGGTTCTCTGATTTCAACCAGCTCGTTCTGCATATTATCTCCACTATTTTTCTTGATGAGTCACCTTCTACTAGCTCTGTTACTGCAATCCAGAGGAAGATTATATCAAAGTTAGAAACTTTTAAGCTAATTGCATAATCCAAAACCCGAAATGTTGCTAAAGTTGAACACTTTATGAAAGACTAATTGCAAAGTTGGATCTTTTATGATAAAGTTAAGGTTTTTGTAACCTGACTACATCATTCGATTACGAAAGTTGTTATTTGGCTAAGTTTGAACACTTTGCTATGAAAACGCTAATAGAAAAAGCTCTGATTTTTGGTATAAAGTTGAGATTTTTCAGAACTTTATTTCGAAGTACGAAACTTTTTTGTTATTCTGAAACCCAAATCGCATAATTTTGAATGGTGAAGATTTGAAAAAGACTCGAACTTTGAAATATTTACCGGCGTGTTTAGAGAGATGATGAGCTTCAGCAGCTTCAAGTTTATTGAACTGTTCACCACATTTATGACAAGAAACAGAGGAGTTACTGCCTCCATTAATGGGAGACTCTCTGTTCATCTCCAATGAAACTCTCCTGTTTGTATGAAACCCTTCTCCTCCTCCTCCTCCTCCTCCTCCTCCTCCTCCTCCTCCTCCTCCTCTATCTCTCTCCAACAAAGCAGACGACCCTTTTCTCGTTTGGCTCCGGTAAGAAGCTGAATGGTTAAGATAATGCATCGGTGTTCCTGGTCTCAGCATACCAACATAAGTCGTTGACCGACCATTCCCTCCTCCGCCGCCGCCACCACCACCTCCACCGGAATCTGCTGCTCCGACAGGTGAAGCCATGTCTCCAACACCAGTGATCTTAAGCTCGCAAGTTGAGTTACTAAGGATAACTTCATGAGTAATGGGATTGAGAAACTCATTGCTTCCAATAGAACGAGGACTACTTATCGGTGGTTTCTCGAAATGTCTTTTGCTTCCGTGGATTACGTCTTTGAGATTCGCTATCGATCTTGAACACCCTGATAACCCACCACCGCATACGGCGGCGCCGCCGGATGAGCTGATGCTAGAGTTTCTTTTGGTTGAGATTGCAGAGAGGTGTTGTTTGGTCGTAGTGGTGGATGATTTGGATTTAGGGTCGTGGACCTCGGATGGTTCGGATTTGCAGTGGAGAGACTTCTTGAGTGAGAACCAAACAGTAGGGATGTTGTTCTTGCTTTTGTTCTTCTTCTTCTTCTTTTGGCTTTTTCTGCTTGAATCTTCCATTGTTGTTGTTTTGATATCTCTCTCTCTTTCTCTTTCTCTATCTTCTTCTGATAAATTTTGGGATTTTTTTTGGATTTTTGGAAGTGATACTATAATAAATATAAATAAAATTATGGGGAGATTGCAGAAGAAGAAGCAAAATAGGAAAGTGAATTTGTATTTATTAAAGAAGATATAATATTAAAAAATAAGGCAATAAAAATGTTTGTTTTATATTAGTTTTTATTATAAGGCATGTACGTGCACATGAATCTAAAGGATGGTCTATGGTGTCTAGCTCTAACTCTACTCACCGATGTAATAAGTTATTACTAATAACACGAGAGGAATGTTTACTTCATTTACTGTTTTTTTCGCGAAATCTTATAAACTGTAAAGAAACTCAAGAAGACTTCACAAGTCACAAACCTCTTTGTTCATGTTTTTTCATGTTCATTAATCATGATCTTGAAATAGAGTATATACTCATGTTTATGCATATTGGAATCTTCTTTTTTTTTTTTCTGGTGACCTTGGTTTGATGAACTTGACAAGAAGACAAGCTATATTTCATGAACTTGCATTCATTAAAAGAATTAATGTTAACCATTAAATCGTAACTAATTCAATAAATTAGGTTTTAAAAAAGATACATAAAAGATATATTTTCCTATAGTTACTAGGAGTAGTACAATGTAGAGAATCTTGAATTCATTCCATATTTCCAAAAATTTGGAATTTCCTTTTATCTGTCTCTTATACAAACTCTTATTTACGATCATCAATCAATGAGATTGTTTGTGGGCAGGTTCACCGGTCTAACAAGACATTTATTCACAACTATGAGATTCTTCTAATTGTATTAAAACTACGATTAATAAACAAATGTCATATGTGACGAATCTAGATCCAAGTCCGACGATGTCAGAGACCCTAGTCAGGCTACTACGGTGTGTATTCATTCAGTCACTTATCATAAAATTAGTTCATCCAAGCAAATACTAATGATGACAAATTGTTGTTCAGTGACAACTTAAATGAGAGTTACTAATGAAATTAATAGCATAGCTATATCAAACTAAGTTTTGAAATAAATTGCAAAATGAACATTGATTTCAATTCATCAACTCACTTCCTTTCCGCTTGCATCTGTCAATTCACTCTTAAAAGCCCTCCATCCCCCATGAGAGCAGATGAAGCATTCTGACATTTCTTGGAATCTACTAATCAATTTACACTAATCAATATGTTCATTATATTGAAGAACAAAAAGATGTTCTCAATTACTATTTTTGATTTTTCACACATAGTTTTTTTAGACTAGGATTTATACCATGTAAATTTATCAGTTTTTACAATCGTTAGGACGAAATATAAGATGTTGTATTTATACAAAACTAAACCCGCAACGATTACATCAAATATTTTTGCATTATATCTTTCTCTTTGTAATAAGGTGTAGTGACATTAGTAGTATATAAGATTTTACATCATAACATCTTCAAACTTGGATGAATAATGGATGACAATAACAGTACATTGTTAAGGATCAATATATAAATTCTGAAGTTATTACTTATTTGTGTGAAACTTTCAAAGTGCATTAAATATTTGACTAGTAGATATCGCAAATGGTAGATATATAATGAAGTAGGTGTGAGTGTCGTTGTAGCAATATTGAATTCGAAAGGAAAGACCATTAAATTCTAAGCAAATTGAATTTTGAAAGAAAAAAAAACACATTGATAGAGATATTAGATAGATATGTACCCTTCCGGGTTTCCCAAGTTTTTGCCATAAACCTAAAAACACAAACAGGACCATCATTTCGACCACACCACATTGACTGGTCTGCCCCAAACCTAGCTTTTAATATATATCGTGTCACTTGGATCTAATAAATATTGTAATTGATTAGGTGAATTCAACACTTTCATATGCTATTTTTTGTTCTTACTTTAACAATTTTTTTAGAGTGACGTTTATAGTAATTCATCAAAATAACACAGTGATGAAAATGTAATCATGGTGATGTACACTGTACAACAAAAGTTTGTAATGTCTTTTATCAAAACAACACAGTAGCAAAATTTAATTAGTAAGTAATATAAAGGTTCTCGTGGGCTTAGACTTTGGTTTAATTTAACACAAAAAATTATTACTCTAAACTCAAACACGGCCCATTTATATCGAATCAAGCCCAATATAATAAATCGTTAAAATTTTGGAAATTCCCTCGTCAAAAAAGAAACCAACAAAACAAAGTGAAGCGGTGGGGAGCAAAAACTTATAGATCCTAGCCATTGATATAGTTTTAATCGACGGTCAGATATCTTCGATCCGCATACTTTATTCTTATTGGTTCGTTAACTTGTTCTCCATCACCACATATATATAAAGAATCACAATTCTGTTTAATTCGTCAAGAAAATTTTCGATTTTTGCGCTACAAAATATATAAAAAAGCTCTTTTGGTTTGTTTGTTTGTTGTTGTTGTCGGAAAAAATGGCTGGTCGTGGTAAAACTCTTGGATCCGGTGCGGCGAAGAAAGCTACGTCACGGAGTAGCAAAGCCGGGCTTCAATTCCCGGTGGGTCGTATCGCTCGTTTCTTGAAAGCTGGTAAATACGCCGAACGTGTTGGTGCTGGTGCTCCGGTTTATCTCGCCGCCGTTCTCGAGTATTTGGCCGCCGAGGTTATTATTTATTATGCTTTCCCTTTTCTTTCTATTCCGTTGCCTATTTTATTGGGTCTTCCTCTGTTTTTGCATGATTAGTTTTTTTTTGGTATTTTTTGGGTGATCCATGAAGAATCTAGGGTTCTTGAATTTTCCGAATTTGACATGCAAAATTGGGAATTTTACTTAAAATTGTGATTAGAAAAAAAAAATAAAAAAAATCTTAATTTTGTATAGATTGGTGTTTAAATTGAGATCTTAAATAATCGTACTTTCGAAAGTTATATACTTTTTGCAACTGTGTGCATAGAATTTGGTCTAATATGGAAATTAATATGATTTGCTTGTTACATTTCTGAATTTGTGTAGTTGTGAATTGGTTGTGTCTAATCGTTAGTGGCTTGTGGTTGAAACTGAAACTTGTGTTTTTGAAATCTCTCTACAGGTTCTTGAACTCGCTGGAAACGCAGCAAGAGATAACAAGAAGACACGTATTGTTCCTCGTCACATTCAGCTCGCTGTTAGAAATGATGAGGAGCTAAGCAAGCTTCTTGGAGATGTGACGATTGCTAATGGAGGAGTGATGCCTAACATCCACAATCTTCTTCTCCCTAAGAAGTCTGGACCTTCTAAGCCTCAGGAGGATTAGGTCTCTACAGGAGATATAGAACACGTCTTGCTGACTCTTTTGTTATGTTTGGCTTCTGATCGAAATAAACAAATAACTAAGCTAGTGCTTTTGTTTAGGTGCTTTTGTGTTCTTTCAGTTTGTTTAGGGCTTTGTTTCTTTCTTTTTGTTTCACTTTGCGTGTGAATATATCAAAGTATTTTACTATTTTACATAATTGAGTTCAGGAGTTTCTAGCAACCTTTGCTTCGAAAATAGTTTTACTAATCACTGTGATCATAGACCTCTTTCTGCAACAAGAAACTCTTGGTACTTTTGGATTTTTAAAATTGGGTTGCTTTGGTTGCAAATTAGAAAAGAATATATAACGTTATTGATAGTAATATTACAACAGTAAACACAAAAGGATTACTCTTCTCTTGCCAACAAGATTCAAGAAGAAGAAATGATGAATATTTTTTCTAAAACTAAAGGTGAAAAAATGTCGGTACAAGCGAATGAGAGTGACAGTGTAAGTCAACAACTCCAAGTGTTCCTTTGTGTTTGTTCATCTGATCATCACTGACTAAAACCTGACATCTCTGCGAATTAATGCCATTCCACTCCCAGCAGAAAAAATATCATCAGAAGCTCTCAGCAAAACCGCAGAGGATTTATGTCCTAACATGTTACAAAACCAAACATTTGTATTTTTTTAGTCTGAATCTGAACTAGAGTGATCCATGCGTCTCTCTGTAATAGCTGGAAACAGTTTCTGTCTAGGATCTACTGAAGGTGGTTGTCTTGGAGTTTCAGAAGAAGATGAGGCTGTTGAGCCCTGTTTTCTGGCCATCCTTACGGGTCTTCCTCTTGCCTCTCTGACTTCTTTGCAGGACTTGTCTAAGATTATCAAGAAATCACGCACAATCACAAACAAACGCAACCCTTCATCTTTTCCAGCTTTGCCATGGAAATAGTCCCCTGTACTCTTCACCAGAGCCATTATTCTCTTCTCTTCCTCGAGCACTGACATGATGCTGCCTTCAGCATTTTGAATAAAATCTTCAAGTGCTTCACGAAACCCACTTTCCTCAGCTGAACTCTTCATCTCTGCGTTGACAAAGTCCCGAGCTTTCGACAAAGCGTGACCCATTTTAAGAACAGTCCCTGTTAAACCATCAGCATCTATGTTTGCAGATTTCTTTACATTTTCAAGCTCACTGCTCAAGCCTGAAACTTTCTGAAGTCCAAGATTACGATAGTTCTCTTCTGTCTCTTCAGAGGTTTCCTCGGCTAAAAGATCCTCTGTTTTAACACTTGAGAAGCTTTGGCTCTCTCTGATAGTACGAGCCGCTCTTACACCTTCAGACCTAATTATCTCTTGAACAACGAAATGGAGGAGCGTTGTTTTCCCATCAGTTCCCTTGACATCTGCTAATTTCAGAAGAGTGTCCAGCTTGAAAGCTTGAGCACCACCCCTAAATGTACCATCATTCATTCGGTTTCCGGTCTTAAGAACTGCCTCTAAGAGTTTCAGGAACAGCCGACTTCCCCTAAGTTCTTTACAAGCAACCTTTCATATACACAAAAGAAGATGTGATTAGATTGGAGAAGAAGCAAGATTCTTGAGAAAGACTAAGAAACCCTGTATATTTTTCTTTCATAACAAAGTCTTTCTTTAAAGATTAAGAAACGTACCTCCAATGTCTGAAATGATTCTTTAACAAAGGCCATTTCTTCATGGAGTGTACACATAAATAGAAGTGCCTCTAAACGCTTGTAAGCGAAAGGGATATCAACAACTGATTTCAAAAATCGTTCAGCGGATCCCAGTTGAGCTATATCACCACAGTACAATCTAAGCTTTAGTTCTTCTTCTGGTGTTGGTGCCATCTTTAACAGAGTCTGGATGAATTCTACAGGAAGCTCATTTCCTAATTCAAAAAAATTTATGTTAGAGAACACATAGGAGAATGCTGCCAGAAATCAAAATGTTTTTATTCACCTAGGAAGAAAGAAAGAATCAGAAGGTTACCTTCACGAAGTGCATCACACACTTCTTCCGTTGTTGCATTCAAAGCACGCAAAAGAATTGAAAGATTTTGTCCTTTCTTTGGTTCCAGAATCTGAACAAACTGAGGTAAAGCAGCTTGTCCTGAGGACCCCTTCTTGTCATTTTTATTCTTGTCTGCTGCTGCATAACCAAATAACGACTCTATCATCTCTTCATTGAACCTGGAAAAGCATCATAAAATAATTTGTATTCAGTTACTGTGCAAAGTTATATGGTTACAGAATATGGGAAAAAAAGCTAACAGTGTTACTCACTGAAAGGATCCTGATCTTATATCATTCCAAACCATTGAATGTTCTGGGTTTGCTTGCACTTTATCCCAGAAAAATGGCTTCAGCTTCGTTTTGGGAGCATCATCATCTGATGCATTTGCTGGCCCAGAAGACGGTCGGGGTGCTTTTGGGCCCAAACTCATTGGTGGAAGTGGACGTGGTCCTTTAAGTCCAGGAGGAGGTGGCGGCCTAGGCCCACCAGAACCAGGTGGAGGAGCTGGAGGAGGCGGTCGTGGACCAGCAGAAGATGGCACTGGTGGTGCTGGAGCTGGAGCTGGAGCTGGTGGAGGAGGAGCAGAAGCCTTTTTTGAGGATACCTTTAGAAATTTGGGTGGTTCCGGTGGAAGAGGCTCCACTTTTCCAGAAAGAGACTTCCCTGAAAGTACAGAACCTGTTCTTCCAGGTGGAGGCTTCAAAGGCGGAATCCCGTGACTGGTAATAATAGTATTATGCATTCCTTCATGTGACAGTCTTTCTTCTAGCGAATCCGAATTGTCAGAATTACTTCCATCGAAGGATGACATTTTTCCTTGGTTTGAGTAAATGTTAAAAGATTGATGACCCTGCTTTCCTCCTTTGACAGAACCACCATAGTTGATAGAGGAACCTGATAGCATTAAAAAAAAAACTTTAATCGTTATATATTCAACAAAATATCTGTTAGATTAGTATCGTGAGAAAGTGTATATATTATTACCAACAGAGTAGTCACTACTGCTCAAACTGAGAAGAGGCCGTTCATCGTTTTTCCTGCCTCCTGAACCATTTGCACATACCCTGGTGCAGCATAAGAAGAATAATGCGGCAAACAAAAATGTAGAAACTGCAGTCACAACAACAGCAATGATGATTGTTTTCTGATGATCCTCTTTTTTCTTCGCAGGTGAAACAGGTGCAGAGGTTGAATTTTTAGAAACGTTTTTCTTAGCAGGAGGAGGAGGGGGAGATCTTGATGGTGGAATAGATGATTTCCGCGGAGGTGGGGATCGAGGTGGTGATCTTAATCGAGTAGGTGGGGATCGAGGTGGGGATCTTAATCGAGTAGGTGGACCCCGACTACGCTTAGGAGGACGGGAAGGGGAAGGAGAAGGAGAAGGGGAAGAGCCAGGTCTAGTAGCTAGACTTCTCCTCGGAGTATCAATCATAGATGATAAGAGCTCAAGATACTTGGGGTTATGACCATTTAACTTTCCTTTTTCTTGGATACAGTCAAGAAGAGTCTGCTTTAGATGGGAAGGGTTCAAACCAAATAGTTCCCTATTATCCTTAGAACCTGGAAAACATAGATTGAATGCTGCGAAAGCGTCCTTCACACAATCTGAATCTTGCCAACAACGTTGCGACCATGATGTTTCTATCTGTTAAACATTGTAGGTAAAGACATGAGACAAACAACTTTAAATGCTACAAAAAACATAGCATTAACTAAGAGCTAGCCAACTAAGATAGCCAAGCATGATTGAAAATGGAGTATCCAAACTATTTGCAAGATGCAAACAATGTAAGCGTTCTGAGATGATCTTATTTTTGTTATAGCAAACACGAACCAAAACAATTAACGCAGTCTTAGTCTCTAAAACCTAAGCCTTCAGCAAGAAACAAGCTATGACTCACATATCTCTGAGTAAAGTCTACAACAGAATCTTCTAGATCTTGTAGAACCTAGCTTCCCAGCAAGAAACATCTTATATCTCGCAACTCTCGCCTCAAAAGTATACCATAGAGTTACAAGATTCCATAGCTTCTACTGCTCTACATATTAATCCCTAACAGATAAATCTCAACACAAATGATGTAAAAAGGAATCAAACAAACTTGAAAAGCAAAAGGGCTTACCTTTAGTGTATTGACCTGCCCTATTGATGGAGCCATGAATTGACTACGAAAAGTCTCATCTTTTTCTGCATTCTCTTCCAAGGTAACCACCAAGAACCCAGAAAGCAGAATCAACCAAAAAACTAAACGAGTCCAATTCTGATCACCCATTCCTCCTCGAATCATTCCAAACATATCTATTGCTTCTCATTTCATCTAATTCTCCAACTAAATGAACACAACAGCGTAATCAAAGGCTAAAGCTGCTCCAATGGACGATTTGATCAAGTTGCCAGCTTTTTAAAATGCAGACCCTTTGCTTGATTTTGATCAAGATCGAAACTTTAAACACAAAAACTCAACAACCCTGATCGAGATTCTAGAAATTTGGAGCTGACTTCAACGCAATTTCCCTGAACGACCAATTCAATAATAAAAGCTTCGAACAATGCAACGAGATCAACACAGGTTTCGGGAAGACAAGAGACAGCACAAAAGGTAAAAGAGTTGGTGCTAATGATTGTTAGCCAGATCCAATATGAAAAAGCTCAATGGCGAATGTCGTCGGTGCGCTCAACCAAACCCAAAAATTTTGACCAGCGAGACCAAAAAAGTTTCAACCTTTTTTCTTTTTCCGAGAAAAAATCACGGAGATATTAGCTCTCAAGCTTCATTAAAATTTTCTCCAAGCTTTTTCGTTCATTTTTTTTTCTTCACGAAACTCAAACACGCGAAAATTACGCGGAGTTATTGATATATTGGATTATTTTCTTTGGTTTACTTGAGGGAAGAAAAACAAAATGTAACCAACCTTTAAGTATAATATAATTTATTATTTTTTGTTTTTGTTTATAACAACTAATATATATTTTCTATTCATTTTATATTATTAATAATTTAAAAGTATCCGAAATCGTATAAAAATGATACTGAAAGCTAGCAAATACTTATGTTTAAAAAAAAAAATATCTACTAAAATTTCAGTTATATAAATTATCATTGTCTCTCTCGTGTATTAAGTATTTAAGTAATGTTCTTATGTAGAAAGTAAAACATTAAACTTTATTGATTAGCGAAAAAGAGTTATAATGATTTACTCCTATTAACTTTGTGTTTTACACCAAAATTCTAGAAATGATTACTGTTTAGATATGCATGCATGATGCATTAAGCATTTGCATAGTCAAATTTCTTGGGAAAGCAAAGAGTTATAAATAATTTAAAGACTCATTCAAATTGTTTCGAATCTCGATCTATTGCATTACTCTATTCCTTTCACACCTATATATGTTCCTAACTTTCTTAAGAAACGTAAGTAAATGATAAAAATTGTTTATTTTCTTTGGTAAAGTTAAATTGTAGATTCTTCCATGAGAAAGTGAAACTATCCTTTTCCATTTTATCATTGAAACCGGAACACTCAACTCAATTGCGTTAAGTTTGGTTGGGTCAAATTTGTTTATACATGCATCAGCCATCCCATAATGTGAGTTTATATACTTATATGCCAATTCCTAAACTATCTTTTAAAAGCAATAAAACATATATATACTACATGGAAAACAGCATAATCTTTTATACTATAGATAAAATATCAAGGATCATAGCATAGTATAGTAGTACATAAAGATGAAGAAGAATCAAAATGGTATGGCTCAAAGCTAATAAGGACACATTTCTTAGTGTGTGACCCTTGGAGCGATTTCTACGTCAAGAGAACATATTCGTTGCATTACTTTAAGCGGGTTAAAGTATTGTCACAAAGAAAGAAGAATCTCTATCTCCCAACTTTTTTTTCCAATAGCTTTTTTCCATAATCTTCGTATAATTTCTCTTCTTTTAATCTCTAACTTTGGACCTATCATGTCAATCTATTAGTATAATGATATATAAATATGCTAGAAATATACCTCCACATAAAAAAACAAGAGAATATAATGTAGGGGAAAGTAATTTCTGCCTAATATATTTAAGATTATTTGCTACTATTTTCTTTTTCATATTTCAAAATAGTTAAATGTTAGTAAATTTTTCTAATATGTAAAATATTTAAAATCAATGTCTAATTATTATTTTTGCATTACTACCTTATATTTTTTTAAAAAATTCAAAATCAAAATATTTAAAAATTAATTTTAATATTTTTGTGTCCTCATTAAATTCTACTTATGGATCTCAAATCTAACAGTAAATTCCATTTGGTGAGTTTTTTATATCCTTTTTTTTTAGCTACGTCAAAACTCATACTATAAAAATAAAACATTGATTCCAAAACTTTCACACACACACAATCAACCGCATCCCTTCTTTTTTCTTATTCGTGTCAATCTCTCTTTCTCTCTCTCTCTCATGACAAGTAGTAGTGGAAGCCTCAAACTAGAGATCCACACCGACGACAAGACACCGGGAAAGTGGAGTGTACCGCTCGGCGATGATGTTTTCCGAAGGTTCTTGAGCGGCGGAGGAAGCTCGGAGAAGGCTGTGTTCGGAGAGGGATCACTATTCAGCCCGTTTTTGTTTGGTAAGTACTTTGATCCGTCAGATGCGTTTCCGTTGTGGGAGTTTGAGGCTGAGGTTTTGCTGGCGAGCCTCAGGAGTTTAGGACAGTCTAGAGTAGATTGGTCTCAGACCGATCAAGCTTATGTCCTTAAATCCGATCTCCCCGGTACGTACGTAACGCTTACGCCACAGTTCTTTTGTATGTTTTCGGTTTGAAATAGTTGTTTAGCTAAAAATGTATCATAGTGTGTTTGAAACGGGTTAACTATATCTAGTTATTAAGGTAACAAGAAACATGAAATAATTCGTAGAATATCAAATAATAATTTGTAGAAAATTGTAAAATAAATATTTTCTTGATCAGGGTTCAAGAACAAGAAAAGTCTGATTAAAGTTTTTGGTACTTGTGTGTATATTAGTGGTGGGGAAAAATAACGTGCAGGTGTATGTGGACGTTAACGGGAAAGTGATGGAGATTAGTGGTCAATGGAACAGCAACAAGAAAGCAGCGGTCAACGGTGACTGGAGAAGTGGTAGGTGGTGGGAACACGGCTACGTCCGCCGTCTCGAGCTCCCCGGAGACGCCGACCCTAAAAACTCCGAAGCTTTCCTCTCCAGCAACGAAGACTACTCTTTCTTAGAGATCCGAGTCCCTAAGATTAATTCTAAGAGCAAGTGTTAATCTGATGTGGTTTTGATCATGAGTAGGGTTTTATTTTTCTTAAATGGTTGTCTTCTTTACTATTATTATAGAATGATCTGTAATGAATTTATGTGGTGGACACACCAAGATGGATGGATGATATTATACATAAGTATATAATATATCAAAATGAAACTATATTGATTATAGAGAAATGATTTGTGGAAATCACAAGCTCGTCATGCAGTTTTTTTTTTTTTTTTTTCTAAATAGGGAAATTGCACTAATGTATATTAATAAGTAATGACATGAGAATGATTTTGCTTAAGAATGTAATGCAGATGAAGAAGGGTGGATTCATCATAAGGAGAAATGAAATTAATAACGAATGCTACATTTTTTTTTGGTTTAACAAAGAATGCTACATAATCATGAAGTTAACACATATTGAAGAAAATGTGAGAAAGCACAAGGCCTAACGGAATGGCTGCAATATTTTGTCAAAAAATAATATCAAAGCTTTTCGTTAATGACTCAATCATGTGTGTTTCCGGTGTAATATTAGAGACTCAACCAGTAAATTGTCTGGACTTAATTGGGCGTGTGATATTGGACAATGTTATATAATCTCACATGAAATGTTTCATGGGCTTTAGACCAATAAATTCATAACCATATAAAAAAGACATGAGAAATAAACTTATAAATTATGATATGTTGTTGTCAAATGCCCTTTCAAATTAAAGACTAAGTGGATTATATGGTGTATTTTAGTCTATATATATATGTATTATATAACAACGTATAAAATGGTGCTTAAAAATCTGCCGCTGGCCGGTGGTGAGCTACGTCCATAGTCTAGAACATCCGAGCTAGCGACACAGAGGCCATAAACTCCGAAGTTTTCCTCTCGAGCAAGGACGACCACTAATACTATACTTTTACAGATCCGAAGCCCCAATGATTTATTCTAAAAACAAGTTTTAATCTCAGTATAAGGTTTAGTGCCGGTGGTGAGTTTTATTATCACACGATGATTTTTATGTGGTGGACGCAAAGGTATAGAATAATCATCACACACCAATGTAACCAACGCATATATGAACTCCATATGTCAAAAAGGTACATTTCTCTTTGGTTAGACAACATTAATGTATTGTCCATAGGATTCCAACTTCTCTCTATAAATACATTGAAAATTCCTCTCTGGACATATTATTTGTATATATTAGTTACACATTGTAACCGTTGCTTTGTCAACTACGTACCAATAGAAGTAATTCGCATCATGTACAAGTATCCCTTGTTTCCACAAAAACGTAACTAAACATTCAAATCTTCATCGGCATTTTTCATTCTCGGTTGAACATAAAACAAAATCCTAACGAATTATTGTCTCATATCAATAATTACTAGCTAGCTAGCTTGTAGAGGTACGTAGTTTTTCTAAATGTCAAAAATTCTATAGTATTCTCCGATAAATTTATAAGAACAAATATGTTCCACGAATATCTCTTATGCCATGTACACACACACACACACACAAAAGAAGGCATTATGGAATTTAAAGTCTAAACTAAAAGCACGAACTGTTTGGCCAGAGCAGAATGGAGATAAACTTAAGAAATCTCTATATTTACGACTAAATTTATTAAAACATATAAGCTTATCTCAGATCTGAACATTCTTTCCAGTGCATATGAATTTTTACTTCATTAGCTGTTAATTCCTCTTACATCAATGATGTCTAACGCAGTGAGCCAACTAATCCTTTCTATTGTAAAGAATGTGTCAGGAGGTCGATTTACCAGTAAGGTAGTGAAATGAGAGTCCCTAATCATTATTGTGTAGAGGTACGGAAAAAAAATAAAACCAAAAATTAGTGGACCACTTATGACCTTATTTGGTTTTACATACTCCTATATTAAAAGAAAAAAATAAAAGTTTGGGATACATATCCATTGGTGTTCCTAAAATAGGTTTAAATGATGATTACAAGACATTTTAGTCTTCCTTTACAAAAGAATGAGATTGTAATTGTCCATATATATATATACAATGAGCCTTTGTGATTTTGTTTAATAGAAATCTTAAAGCTCTGAATTTGTTAATATGGTCGTCTTTTTTCTTTAATGGATTGCATAGTGTGTTAGCGGAACAATCTAAGAATATATATAGTAACAGAACAGTATTAAACTATTCTTTTAACAGAAGAAGTAGGTCTAAGTTTGATGTGAGAAAACGACATTTAGATGAAAAAAACCTTGGAACTCTCTACCATACCATAAATTTTTAAAATAGATTTGGCAACAACTTTTTTTCTTCATGGGAAGTGTTTGGTGCATTCCCTTAACATCTATATTTATATAGGACATTTTTCATTTGAAGAAAATAATAATTGTCTGATAATATCACTATCTAGAAGTTGGTCAATGTACATTATTATACGTTTCGACACCTATATATTGGAATTTATTAATACTACTGTTTAAAATATGTATAAGAATCCATGAGATTTTTTGTATTTTATATGTTGAAGTTTGATCAAGTCTGTTTGATATCTTTGTTGAGTTATGATGACAACATAAAGAGAGTAGATCGTTTATTACAAATCCGATGTAATAATGGATGCTTAGCTAGTTAGATCCGATGAATTGAAATCCGTATTGTTTTGGGTATGTAATTTTGATTTTAGTTAGATGAGGGGAGTAAATATTAAATAATCATGGCTTAACACTGAAGTCTCTAGTGAACTAATTCACGTTTCTATATAAAGTTGCAAAGACAAAAAGTTAAAATAAAAAATACTTGGCACCCATTTGACGCAACTCGATGGACTAAAATTTTATGACAAAAACATGTAACATACGACGTGCGAATTAATATTTCGATTCTATATAAACAATCTGTATAGATATAATTTCGAACCACGCCTCTATCAAGTTTCAATAGTTTTAACGTACTCTTCTGATATCATTATATCAATTTCACTTTTGAAAAGTATTTAAATTGATATTTTAAGCTTTTAAGATAGTTCTTTACAAAAATAGGTTTCGGATATCAATTAACTTGTATTTTAGTATTAGCTGTAGTTTCTTAATCACATAAAAAAAACTATGGAGACTAATTCTTCGAATAACATTAAAAGTTCAGATATAAGCTACATGCAGACCACAAATGATGAAAAACTATAACAATAAATTTTGAAATACGCGTATTTATCTATATATGTTCCAAGACTAGTTCAAGTTGATATTCGACGCCACGATTTTTTGAGAAACTAAAAAATCTAAAAAATCTCTTTTATATAATTTAGTCTAATGAATCTCTAGTATACAATACTACTTAATTCTTATTATAACATCCCATTAGTTTGACTAGATCAAATTTGGCATGAAACTTGCACCACCTTGCTAATCACCCTTTGCATAAAGTAGTAAGTATCCTGCTTTATCCAGACATAATGTATTTATATATTTGAATAATATGTTCAAAACACCATCTCAATTATAATCACAAATCCATTTACAATACAGTTCCAAGGTGATTTAGGTAGTGAATGGTAACAATGAAAAAGCGGTTTTCATCAATTTTTTAAACAAAACCGTACTTTGACACCAATCACATTATTTCTGAACAATTTGCGTTTTTGTAAAAAAAGAAAAATTATCAATTTGCGGTTTTCAAATCAATGTAATAACCAGTGGACCGCGATTTTTTTGGTAGCTGCCTATTACCCAGAGGATTGTTCTGAAATACGCATTGGACAAACTTGTTTTATTTATTTATTAAATTATTAATTAATAAAAAGTAAGACTTCCATATATTTTAACAAATAGCTTTGTATTTATGCTTTTTGTTTATATAATTCATGATTAATAAAAAGAAATCTAACCAATATACTATTAATTTACAGATATAGCTATGTTAAACAAGTTTTTTTTAACTTAATTGTTCTTTTTATGTAAATGATTTATTTTTAAAAAATAACTTACTTCACAAATAATTAGTTTTAATTTTGTGCTAAATCGTGTTTTTAATTTATTTTTTTCAATACTCTCATAAATAATTTCCTTTTTAAATGTATCTTTTTGAGAAAAATATTAACTTGATTATTTCTTCACAAATTATAAAATAATTAGTTTTAACATTGAGAAAATACTTACAAAATCTAAAACTATAGTGATCTTTTTGATTAAAAAAATCGATTAAATTTTATCATAGATTAACTAAATTTACAAATTTTAAAAAAAATTATAGTTTCCGTTTTAACAAATTTATTAATATCACATCAAAAAGTTATAAAAAATAAAATCTGTAGCTATTTAAGTTAGTTATGTTTTATCAAAATTTTCAAAAAGTATGATTTTAAATATTACATAACTTTCATAGATATTATATGTTTTCATTAGTTATTTTGTAAATATATATATAAACATTTCTTTATTATATACAAAAACAAAGAATCTACTAATTATAAATAAAATTATATAAAATCCGCACCGCAAATAGTTTTTCACCAATCAAACATTATTAAATACCGCTTATTCTGCATCAACCGCAGTTGTCCCGCAAATACGTTTTTCCCGCATGTACCGCAGTTCAACCGCACCGCACTATCAAATCATTTGTCCCGCACAACCAAATCCGCTGTTACCATTCGGACCCTTAATCACAAAGTTTGCAATCATGAGAAAATATATAATGAGAATGTTATTTATTTTTGTTTATTGCATGATCCAATATAGGAATATATTTAGAGTGCGTAAAGGTGAAAGATGTTTAGTGCGTCTTGCAAAAAAGTACACTTTAATGTCTCTATGTCACCAAATCACTAATCAATGTTTCTAATTCCAACTAAAGTATATGCATGTACGTAAAAAAAAAACATAAATAAATATGGTTTATCTCCAAGAAAATGTAACTCAACATATAATCATATACATATACGTTTGAAATCGTAAAAATTTAACAAAATTTAATTCATAATTTAAATGTATCAACAAAGTTGGATCTAATAATCAATACTTTCAAACAAGACACATCAACGACGACGATAGTTCAACTGCCAATTCAGTTCGCACTTCGGACCATTTAGATTGTTTCTCACACACACACGGTATTTTGACCAGAATCTAAAGAAGTTTACAGGACAAAAGACAATTTTTCATTCGGACAATTTTAGCCCATAACCTTTTTAAACCAGAAACGTGAC